AGTTAAAATAACACGCACGGTTACACGCAAACGGTCACAATCACTATTCGACGTACCAAGACTTACTAAATACTAAATGTACGATAACTAATAAGGACTTTACAGAATACACTACGTCTTTAAGAAACAATTAAGATACGAAATACAATAATTTATTGTATTTTGTATCATATCGTATAATGTTTATTGTCAATAAACATTATATCTCCTATATTACTGGAATATTTTTATATTTTATCTATAATAGGTTATAGGCAGCGTGGACGCGTGGTGCCGATAAACTTACATTAGGTGAACCTATTTGCTGTGTAAAGCCGCGTTTACATTATAAAAGCGAACAAACGAACAAAATAGTTTTCAGACCGAATTGGCGTCCACACTAAATAGTCCTAATGTAAACGCGGCTTTATACATTTTTACATTTACTTTTGTAAAATAGGAATTTAATAAAGCGACACTTACCGTTGACTAGGTACAAACATCAAAACAACTTAATTTTTTTCAGATTAACAAATTATAGGCAAAAATAGCATGATACTTATAAAAATAGCAAAAATAATGCAAAAACACTTAAATATGCAAAAATATGCACTAAAAACTTTTAAAGCTGCGTTCATTTTAGTATGAAACGAATTTGTAGCTTACTCTGCTATATTTTAATGTACTATAAATAAATATGCAAATGCTAGAAGTCTCGAGCCCTGCTCATAACCAATGATACAACACAATTTTATTATTAATTAACATACTAAATCTTGTTGATTTTTTTTTATGAAGGACCCTCAAGCGATGCCTTGGATACAGTTGGAGTTTCTCAATCAACTGAAACTGCTGAAACAGACACACTTGATTTAGGTAATTTTTAGCTTTTATGTTTATTTTATTTGATTAAAAATTGATAAACTTTTTTTAATAACCTTATAATTGTTTGTATTAATTATGAACCATAATGTATTATTTTGCATTTAATTTCTAAAAAATATGTATTTATAAATTAAAAATAATAATAAATTCATTATTTAGAACAAGAAACAGTTGAAATTTTATCATCTGAAAATGAAGAAGAAACTGTTGAAATTAAATCAATTCATGGTACTAAAATCTAAATCTATACTTTATAAGAAAATTGACTTCATTATTTATTTCATTGATTAGATATTGAAGAAACTCAGAATGATGATAATCCTGACCAAGATCAAGATCAGGAAATAATTTCAGTCACCTCTTCTCCCAGCAAAGATAATGAAGCTGTCTGCGAGGAATCTCCTGTGGCTGGACCGAGTGGTATAACTAGTGATTCATCGGCAAATGAACGCAAGCCTATAACATGGAATGAATCACCTTGAAAAACTAAAAACATTTATTAAAAGTTATACAAGATATTTATTAGCTTGTTATACAATTAATGATATGCATATTAACGAATTTTGTAACTATTTTTTTTATAGTCCTTTTTGTATTAAGTACTGATGAAATATGAATGTTTCTCAAATTTAATTAAATATTTTGATTAAAATATATTATACATTGTATTTTATTTGCACTATATTATTATCTCTGTCTTGTCTACTTTAAGTATTCCTAGGTGGTTAAGATAAAATATGTAATATTTATTAATTATAATAAACACATTGTTTTTACATAATTTTTAACTATGATTACAGTCAGTGTTAATTCCAGACAAATTCTTAGGGAGGGGGGCTCATTATTTTTTCATTTGTGAACGTTGGTAGATTTTGGCATTATGAATTATACCTATTATTAGTTATTACAATTTACAATTTAGACATTTTGCAAAAGTTATTAGATAGTACCTATACTGACAGTACAGTATAAAAACATCGAACAAAATAAATTGCATTTTATTGAACACCATTAGGCGAGGTAATGGTAACGAGTAATGAGTATTGTGCATTTGTGCATTTAATAAGTAGGTACATTTGGTTGAAAGTTGTATTTGTTAGAAGGTGCCAAAGAAATTTCAGGAGAGGAGCATTTGACCTCTAAAGTATTCAAGTATACCTGGTTTCAACACTGATTACAATCACGACTAAAGAAGCTATAATAGTTTCTTTACTATATCATAAAATATTTCTTGATTATACTCTGTTCAAGTTATGAAATACAGTCTATGACTGATCAGTGCACAGAGACTTTACTAAACTACATAGTTGGCGTATAAATGGTTGACTCTATAATAAGGAAAACTGATTGCCACCAACTGTATTTTTTAACTTAAATAAACTATATGCATATTTATTCTACAATTTACTTCATTGTCTAAAAATATCTGTAATTTATATAGAATTACTAGATTACATTTAAATATCATAAAATCATAATCTGTGAGGGTTAAAAAATGCATATTGAAATTTGTTTCATAATTATTTTATTTAATAATCAATATTTCTTTGACTTCAAAAAATTATATATTTTAAGTTCTTAATTTAGGTAAATTTATATATTAAATAAAATAATAGAATACAAAAGTTAGTTTACTTAATTACACAAGCAACATGTTGATATTTAATTGATAGTAAATTCATCCAACATCTAATAGTTGCTTCTGTGTATCTGTTGCAATTAACTTCGCTAATTTTTTTTTTTCAACTCCTCTAAGGTTGATAGTAAATACTAAATATTAATAATGATGATACATACATGTTTACAATACATTTAAATGTAGATAATAAAGTGACCATATTTGTAGACATTTTATAGCAGAAAAAATTGAAAACTCTTACAGTAAAGAGAATATATTCTTTCTATAATATACAATTATTAATACTAATATTTTCAAAATTAATCATTTACTTAAATAAAAAGGATGTGCTCTCATAAAAATAATTAAGGTTCAAATCTACCAAATTCACGTTAACTAAAATCCATTCTACATAATAAAATATAACCATGGGCAAGTTTGTAAATCTTTCTATTAGGGAAACCTATACATGTGTATCTCTAAAAGGAGGAACTAAATCTAAGAGGCATTAGCTAGTTGTAAATTTTATACTTCAATATACCTTGTCTGTTGGTGACTACATAATTTTAAAATAAATTGACCGATTGGGCTTATTTTTTGTTAGTATTTTTGTAATGGTCCAAATAAGGTTTTTAAGGAAAGAAAAATTGGAAAACTTGTCGGGAAAATTGAAAAATTCAGGTATGTGAAATTTTCAATTTGTATGATGACTTAGAATAGTATTAGTTATTATATAGTTGTTACTAGTAATAGTCTAAATAATCGATAGAAATAAAATTGTCCATAAATCATAATATCATTTTTGTAATTTTTTATCCTAACTTTAACCTGGCAAATTAATAACTATTATACATAATTAAAAATATTAAAATTATACCGTACAGTTTATTATATGTATATATTTTATAATACATAAAGTATATGCAAACATATTTTCATACTTATAAATAAAAATTACGATGGGAAATTTTGTTTAGATTAGGAAAACTCTGTTTAAGCACAATAGTCAATAAAGCATTAATGTACACCATATACTGAGGCGGATCATAATTATTTTGATAGGAGGATAATATAAATTGTATAATTTGAATTATAATTAATAATAATAACGTACATACCTACCTACCTACTATAATTTTTAAACAATAATGTTATAATGTTATGCTGATTACATAACATCACATACCAAAATAATAATTTATATTATTTATAATATTATACTTATACAGTAAGTTATTATAAATGTAGTCATTAATAAGTAAAATTGTTTATAGGTTCTTATACTTTATAGCCTTGTAGGTCGAATTGAAGTATCCGTATGGGTATGTTTTTTAGCAAACATGTACTTTTTCTGGTTTTACTTGAATTTCTTTATTTATATATAATATTGCTTAGCCGTTAAGTCTTTCCTGGTCCATTGTCGATCGTTGGTAAGTTTTAATCTTTTTTATAGAACTAAATGACCTTTGAGTACTTATTGTTGCGATAGGTATGACACTAAGAATTTTTAAGTAATTTAATGTTAGGGAACATAGGTGCATATAATCATATTTAAAAGTTTCAATTGAAGAATCAACTTTTTCTAATTAATTTTTTTTATTGAAATAGTGTCAGTAGACACCTCTTTCAATCAAGCTTACTTGTCAATACCTTATAGTTATTTTAAATTTCTTATTGTATTAATAATATAATAATGTTTACAGATTTTAATTATTCTTTATAAAATAATAATAAAAAAAAAATATACAACTTAAAAAAAAGTATTGTTGTCAAATCTCATCTATAAAGTTATTTATAATATTTACACAAAAAATATATTATATTATAATAAAAATTTAATTTTTCTAAAAAAATGTAGCCCCCCAATTTAGATTTTTAAATCCTTATGTTAATACTTGTCAAATCTTATAAAGACCTAACTAACAATTCTATTTCCTAATAGACATTATATTGGCTACTTGTAGGTACAATTTAAAACTGCACAGTCCATTGTACAGTCGTTTTTCGTAGTTATGAATTGTAGTTATGATTAACTATTAAGTATGTATTAAAAATAGTTTTTATAATAAACATGAACATTATAATTTAAATAATCTATAATATTCTGTATTACATTTAATTATTTAGTTCAACAAAAATAAAAATTGTATGTAGTATGATACAAATGTATAAGATAATTATTAAAAATATTAAATAAATATAATAACGATAAGTTAAGCTATTCATACTCAGTCTCAAATATTCAATCATACATATTAGTTATTAATTAATGAATTTATTACATTATTTACATCATAATTTTGTAATGAATATTGCAGAATTGCAGAATGTGAAATTTCAACATAGATAGGTAATAAATATTAACGAGAACGTCGAGAACACAGAATGGAGGTAAATATTTCTTGGCATAAATGATGAATTTTATTTTACTCCATGATTGCTCAAAGTGTTTCATTCTCATTCAAATTATTGGCATACCATAATATACCATGATGTTTAGCCATCGTCGGCATGCAGTAAACAACATTACCTTGTAGACATTTAACCTAACCTAATATACGTTAACATTACTCGTTTTGTTAGCGCGATATTCGTAATTGTAAACATTATTTGCCGTTTCAATAATATTGACGTCCGATTCGATTCCTGACATTATTAATCTCCGAACTCAATTTTTTCAAAGTAAGTACATATTCAAACCCTGCTTTCCCACATTTAATGTTCGACATCAAGATTAACTTCGATCAATTGGTAAAATTTCGACTTTCATGTGCGAACGAAACGCACGTGTTGTTAGTTATACAACATTACTGGTTTAGTTGCTTGTTTTTATGTCGGAGCGTCTGTTGTGGCGACAACCGTCCGTCCACAGTGTCCAAATTTCGTTGCCTCGAGCGCCTGACTCGTTCCAATCACATGATTCACGCAGTATGAGACGGGCGTGTTCTGGTAGTTTTTGTGTGTTTGATGTCGATTAAAACGGTTAAAAGTTAATTGAAAACTCTATTTCTGTTAATATGAGGTTCTTCTAGAGACGCTTTGCTCAGTTTTCACCTTTCTTAACAAAGTAGATGGTTTTTATTTTATGTATTATAAAATACCAGCATAGTATAATCTGAGATTGGAACTTTTTTATTATTTGTTTGTTTAAACAAATATAAAATGGAATTGTATTACTAAGTTTTTGAGTCTTTGTTCAGAATCAAAATTAATATGCTCAATATTTCTGCAAATTTTAATTTCAACTGTCACAAGTTAGTGTTGTATTAAACTTTTGAATAATATAATATTTGTATTACATTTAAAGATGGACGACCAAAGCATCACATTAGATGTTAACCCTAAAGCATATCCTTTGGCTGACCAGCAGATGACCACAAAAATTTTAAACTTGGTTCAACAAGCAATGAACTATAAACAACTACGTAAAGGAGCAAATGAAGGTTAATATTGTAATAAGTATTTTTAATTGATAATATACTAACAGTGTTATAAATTTCAGCCACTAAAACTTTAAATAGAGGTATTTCTGAATTCATAGTTTGTGCAGCAGATGCAGAACCTTTAGAAATTTTGCTACACTTGCCTTTGTTATGCGAGGACAAAAATGTGCCATATGTTTTTATCAGATCAAAACAAGGTTAGTATTTTAAATTAATCATTTGTAAGCATTTATTGAATTCACATGTATTTTAACTTTACAGCATTAGGCCGAGCTTGTGGTGTTTCAAGACCAGTCATAGCGTGTTCCATTACCACTGATGAAGGTTCACAATTACGGCCTCAAATACAACAAGTTCAGACTGAAATTGAGAGACTATTGGTTTAATTTTGTACATATTTTAACATTTATCATACTGAATTGGAAATAATAATAATACTACATCATTCAAATGTTTAAAATATATTATTATTTTGTGATTATTATGTTTAATAATATGATTTATTAATTATATACATTTTCTTATAATAGATATCGATAAAATTTTATCATACACAAAGTGGTTTTACAGGAATGAAATTAATTATCAATGGAATGGTACATTATGAAATTAAAATTCCTATTCTAATTAATATGTGTTATACACATGTTAAATACATTATTTAGATCACATTTGTATGTTAAAATTAATGTTTTTTAAATTTATGAGATAAATAAATACCATAATTGACTTAAAGTTACAATTATTTTTCATTTGTTCATAGAAAATAAATTAACCAATTGACTTTAAATATTAATGTCATAATTTAGTAGTTTTGTTTAATGGAAATTCCCACTACAAATGAAAAAAAATTGTGGGTACTAGGGTACTATATTTAAATAGGGACAAAAACACCTGAAAGACAATTTATTTTATAGCTAGAAGACTTAGATTCTGCTTATCTCCACTTAACACCTCGCTTTTGAAATAGATTTAATTTAAGGTATTACTTAGTGAAGTGCCAATAAACTGATTTATACTTAAATTCAGCATATACGCTTTCTAGGCAAATTATAGATAAATATGGAGACAATTATAGTGATACAATTACAACCACTGGTATTTTTATTGTCTAGCAGGTGAAAAGATACTCTTTTATTGTTGAAGCTGAATTCTAATCTTTTCAAAGAATAAAAATAGTATGTATTATTATTAATTGTAATTTGTAATGTAATATCATAATACATTTTAATGGAATGACATCTTACAAAGTATTATGTTCAGTATTTAAAAGAACTGAAATTTATTAAAAAAAATTTAATCACTTATAACCTTTAATTTTTATTAAATACTTTAAATATTAGAAAATTAAGTAACATTAACATTTGTGAGAATTAACATTATTTTATAACCTAATGACTTGTATTTTAAATTAAAAAATGGCTATACTTAAATTTTGCTATAATTACCAATTAAACTGTTGACTACATATAAGTGTGTTAAAATAAATATAAAAAAAAATTTATTGTAATTTATATGCATTAATACCATTTTTTTAATGTATTAGAAGTGATTATTTTCTAATTGTAAGTATTTATTCTATTTTAGTGTGATAATATTTCCTTAAAATTAAATTAATATTTGTTAATAGTTATTTAATTTTTGGAGATAAAATAAAAGTGAATTGTCACTTAGTATTTTATATAAAAAAGTTTAAAAAACTAATTTGAACTCAAATCTAAACGAACTATTAACAAAGGTTTGGTTAATAACAGTTGTCCCTAATAAATTACATAATTTGAATCTATTAAATCCAGTTAGTATATTATACTATTTTAAGGTTTCTACACAACAGAAAATTTGTTAAAAATGTATGATATATATATGAAGTTTGGCCAATCATTAATTTTAAACATCATAAAATGTGGGAAAACAATTAGTTTCCAAAGATTATGATAAAAAATATCTTTGGATTGAAAATTGATATAATTTTATGAAATGAAAAATTCCCAAATTATTTAATTGTAGAATGTTGATATTTAGATCATCTGTGAGTTCATCCATTAATGTTGGAAGCTATTAAAAAAAATAATAAAAACAATATTCCTTACCTATTTAATTTTTAATTTTATTTACATTTAAAATATTAAAAAATAATATCATTATTATCTTATTTTCCTTTTGAGTCTAAATAATTTAGAAGTTTTTCTTCGCGGATTTTTTTCTTTTCTTCTCTGACTTTCTTCTTCTCTTCTTTTTCCCTTTTGACCAGCATTTCTTTAAATCTATCATCTTTTGGATCTATCTTATACCCAAAATGTTTTTTCACTTCTTCAATGAGTTTTTCTTTCTTTTCTTTAGCTTGTTGTGCCTCTAGTAATTTTTTTGTTGCCTTTTCTTTGACTTCATTTAACCAACCATTTAATTTTTTCATATTGTTATCAATTTTTTGCTGATTCAATTGAATTTCTTGACGTTCACATTCTATAATCTTCATTGCATTTTGTTGCATTTCTTGAATGGTGAATGGATAGGCTAAACTTTCATACTCTCTTATATCCTCCAAGTCTTCAGCTGTTGGCCATGCCAAGCCTGGATAAACATTACTGACATCACCATACCGGCCATACATTCTTCTTTTATATTTTACTGTATTATGGTATCTATGCACAGGCTCATCATAAGGTAATCGACCATTTACCAAGTTGCGATGTCCACGGTTCAAGCGAGATTTGTCACAAATTGCTTTCACTTCCTTTTCTGACAAAGTATTTTCCACAGTAGTTGTTACAATATCAACATCTTGGACTTCATTTTTGATGGATGCATTTCGTGCCAAAAAACACTGAATAATCGGTACTTTAACAATTTTACCAGCATAACTAAATCCTTTAAACGATATGATAGACATTATATAGAACAAACGTTGTGGCTATATACACTTTTAACATGAAACAACGATTTATACTCGACTTATATCTTAAATTTTAATATAATGGTTATTATAGAATTGTGTGTTAAACTAAAAATAAAATAATTAATAATTAATAATTATTGTATACTCATATCATGTCTCCTGATTGCTCGTGATTATGATAGTAGATAGCATGGTTAAATCACGCTAAAGTATTTAACCAAGGTAGGATAGATAGTATATCAATTATTTACATTTCCTTTATTCCTTATATATTGATAAGCGTTATAAAATTATGTTGGTTTAAAATTTAAAATGATAATATTGATAATATACCAACATTGAACATAATATTTTCCTGGATACATAATGACATTATTTTATAATAACATTATAATTTTTATTTTTCGTACGTAAAATCTAAATAAATAAATAATCCTAAAATTGTTTAATTATTATATGTGTTACTATTGCTTATTAACAAGGCTGTGAATTAATAGGAAAGTGCATTTTTTTTTGGCGATTGTAAAACATAACTTTGTAAGTACATAATTTGAATTATGTAATTACGAATCCATCTATGAAACTTTTATTTTGCATATTTTTGCATTTTTTGACGTTTTTAATTTTTTAGGTCATTTTTTCGCATTTTTAGGTCATATTTTGCTTTTTTAGTTCATTTTTTAGTATTTTTAACCAATTTCTGTCAATTGACATGTTAGAAAACTTTACTATTTTACACAGGCTGTATTATATTATGTCAAATTTATATTTTATTAAATAATATTTTACACAAGTCACAAGCTGTATATACGGGTTAGGTAAAAATAACGATACGGGATTTAATACAATTTGCAATATATCGAAAATTTTCGAGGGAACTGAACTATCCAGAACGTCTCTCCCAGATGACCTCAGCTTTGATAGTTTGATGACATGGCTTTTATGTGATATGCTCCTATTACGTGTGAAGATGTTGAAAGGAGTTTTTCGGCATTTAAAAATTTGTTGACAGACAATCGGCAGTCATTTTTATTTGAGAACATCAAACGAGCACTTATTGTCTAATGCAACAGTAAATACTAAAGATGAATAAGGTACCCGGAAATAAATATCTTTGAGTTTGTTTTATTATTTTAACAAAATAAATACAAAAAAAATTTTTTAAAAATGTTTCAGGTGAATAGCATTAATTTAATTCATATTCAATCAACTTTTTTATTAAATAAACACTTTTTTGTACTAATGTTTAATATCCTGTACCTAATATTAATATAAATATAAAAATTAAATTAAAAACCATTTTTAACGAATTGTTTACTATAATTTTTGGCATTTTATATTCCTTTTTTTGCATTTTTAATGCATTTTTTAAGGTTTTTTAGTGCATTAAATTCACAGCCCTACTTATTAAACTACGAAAATCATGTGAAATGCTAATTGACTAGTTTTTAAAATTAGTATAATTAAATACAGAAATAAATAATACATATAGAACTACTGAGGTTTTAGAAAAAATACCTATTACTATATGATTAAGTATATACTTAGTATTGGTATATGACTTTCTGGTCTCAGAACTATGTGTGTGCGAGAAATGTGTGCTGTGTACAGTATAAAATAAAATCTATAGGTTTTCGGTAACAACAATTAATATATAATTATAATCATATTTTTTTTTTACCATTATTTTTATTAAGAAAATATTACAATCTGTATACTTTACACAGTAAGTAAATTATTTTAGACAATATAATACAGCGCATAAATATCGTGTGAGAAGGAGTCTATTAACTCCCTTTCAAAAAAAAAAAAAAAATGAAATAGGTAGTATGCTAAACTGAGTTAGGGAAGGTCTCTAGCTCATTTTCTTTTAAGTCGGTGTAAGGGATTATTAGGATTAGAGGAATTATAAAGACTAGATATTAAGGAATAAGAATAATTTTATGTGTCACTGTGGAATTTTTTAAGGTAGTAAGATGCGAGTTCGGAAAGTGTTGAAATTTCTAGGTCTTTGTAAAGGATGTGGTTACTGATTTACCATGGAGACATGGAGTACTTGTTATTATTCGTAGGTTAATTGGTTGGAAAGATTGTAGGATAGAAATATTTGATTTTTTCGCTGATCACCAAAGTTGAATACCGTAAGACATAGTTGGGCGTATAATTTGTTTGTATATTAGTGCCTAGTTTTATATTTAGTGATATTTTAAAACGGAGATGTCTCAGGAAATGAAGACATAGTTTAATAATTTGCATTTGTTTTTAATGTGACAGGCCCGGTTAAGTTTTTTGTCTAGGTAAATGCCTAAATATTTAGTGTTATAATTTTGGTGAATTATATTGCTATAATTGATCAATAAAGAAGGCCGTTGATAGATCGGAGAGTAAATTAATTTTTATTCTCCGTAATTTGAACCAGTTTTTAAGTCTGGATTAGAGGATAATATAGCAGTGTCCTCTGCAATTGTAGCGAGATGTGTAGTATTTGAGTGAGATATGTTGGAAGTAAATAAACGTATTATATACAGTTGAAGTTAGAATGCTTCCTTGAGGTATACCTGCATTAATAGGATGAATGTTGAATGTTTCATAATTGCAACGTATGGCAAAGGTGCGTTGTGATAAGAATGATATTAACATGAGCAATAAAGGAACTGAAAGAAAGCGAAGGTTATTAAGGAGTCCCTTAGACGGCTCAGACCACATACGACTGAACGTCTGTGCGACATCGACAAATACGCTTTCACAATGTTTTTTAGTTTCTAAAGATGATGAGATGACATCTGTTAATAAATCATATTATCTGTAATTATTTATGAATTATATAGCTCAATGTTTTATATAATTTAATAGTTGTAAATACAAATATCTATTTAAAAACATAATGGTTAATGGTAGTATAGCACCCATTCATATCTCAAACTCTCCCGTTAATTTAATTATTAGACTGAATGAAAGTGTCGAAGGGATAAATATCTAATCAAAACATTTATTAGTGAACATAACCACGTCTGGTTTGACGTGACAAAATATTAACAAAATTATGAATAAATTTAAGTGATAATAAAAAAATTATAAATTTTTATATACTTAATATGATATGATCATTTATCCAAGGTTAGGTAGGTACTGGAAAATGGAATAAAAATTTGTGACGTGAAAGTTAATAAAAACATCCTATAGGCTAGGTATAGCATTATTTAATGAAAACACAAACGCACAATAAAATTGTCACATTAAAAGATACTTGGTCCCACCAAAGTCACTAATAGACACCTTAAAAGTTTTATTCAAAAGTTACATAACGCGTTCCGTTAGTTTGTGTCGAACAACGGTCTTAAAACCGCTAATTATATAGCCACTCAAAAGCAGAAGCAATGTTATCAAAATGCATTGATTGGTTTGAAGTACAAGAGGTCTTACTTCGTAAAATACGATACATGTCTGCTCAAAAAACTCGCGCCTCAATAATATAGACCTATATTATTAGTATTTATTATTTATTGCATATTATTTTTGTCTGCAAATCGTATTATAATTTATATACGTTTATTGAAAAATTTCTGTTAACCGTCTATTCGATTAACTGTCATTGTCCCGGTCCCGATACTGACGGTTAAACGAGTTTCTACTAATACATACCCGATGTAGATTTTTTAGTAGGTATGATCAATTAATAATAATAATAATTTTAATATAAATAATTATAATATTTTGTCTATGGTGAGGAGAATGGAAGGCGAAACCTCTTATCAGTCACTTTGATTTACAGAAATACATAAAGTACCTATACATTTCACCCAAACTGCATTTATGGATAGGTACTCACTACCCACCCATTGGCTTTTATTGTACTCACCAGTAACGTTAGCATACTTATCTAGATACCTATCTTTAATATTAACAAAAACTGCTAGTTTTTGTTAAGCTTTTAAATTACATAACAATTGTATTGATCATGTTGTGTGGAAATTATTTTTATTTTATACATACTACATTTTATAAAACTCCATCAACTAATTTTTTTTTTTTTTAACTACTTACAGTATATAGTTTGCAATTTTATACAGACAATATTTTTGTTTTTTATTTAACGCTAACGTATTATTTTAATATTCAATATAAATATATTAAACAAATATATTCGATACTAATTAAAATTGTAGATATTTAAATAATTTAATGCTGTTATGTACTGTTATGGTATTTTACAGCTATAATTATTGATAATATGTGTATTGTATATTAGATACAAGTACCTTAGTATGGATTAGTAGGTACCTACCTATTTACTGTTACATAAGAAAATAGTGTAAGATAAAACAGATATTTATCAGTTTTCAGTTTTTAGTAGTTATAGATATATTGTGTTATACAAACCATATTCATCATAATATGATAGGTATTAGGTATAAATAATCAATTTATAATTTACTATTTATGTTTGTATTAGATAACTAGGTTTATATTATTATTCTCGGCACAACGATATTATTGTGTGCAGCCAAGTCTGAAAAAAATTAGGTTAATGTAATATTAAAATGTTTTGTTTAGTATAGTAATAAGAGAAGCTAAAAATACTTTTAAGTTATTTGCTAAAAAAAAAGTTATGAAATTCTAAAATATTATAAACTGTGCCTAAATTAAAATAAAAACAAACTTTTTCTCTTGATCACCTAAGAGAGTAGATACTAGAAATACTTGTTAGATATTAGGAAATAGCTAAAAACAGCAGCTAGTATATTAATAATATTACAAATCACAAATTACATACCTAAATCAATTTTGAATACTAAAATACTTACATTTATCTGCAATAATCAGGTATTTGTGTATATCTAATTCAAGTAATCCATAAATTACTATTATTTATTCATATATGTTTTGAATGCTTTAATGCTAACAATATAAGTAATTAGGTTTAGGTTTTTATGTACATATCAATCGTTTACGCCTATAGCGTTGACCATCACATCATTACCATATATATTGATAATGATTGTTTTAAAGTAGGTATTAAACTAATCTTCGCAGTTATCCTATAGTCATTTTTAAGATGTTAGTACGTATTTAAACTTTAAATTAGATTGGTATGGGTAATATATTTCAGAAAGCCTTTAACAATATAAATTATTATTATTCATTTTATTAATTTAAATCACTATGCAAATTAATTAAAAATGTATATTACCTTTATCTATATTATATTTATAGATACTATTATTTATGAGTTATGATTTATATTTAAACAATTAGTAATAAATAATATTATCAAGCAATTATGCAAGTTGCAAAACACCCAAATATGGAGTACCGTATATGGCTGTTATATGTTACTACGTTGGTGATATCTAAATAATTAAATTTGATTTACTTGTAATTTTAAGGAATCAAAAAAAAAAAAAAACCTATTAATATTATTTATTTTTGCAAAAAAATTTAGTTTTATATTCAATAATATGCATAATATATTAGAGAAGTATAACTTATAAGTAAGTTACTTTTTAGGTACTCTGTTCAAGCCTGTGCGTAAGGTTTCTTTATAGAAGGGGTTCTAAACAATAAGTATTATATAGATGCTAAAAAGTATCATATTTATATTACTTTTTAAGTAAGTAGGTTGAAACCCCTAAACCGAATAATTCTAAATCCTTTTTCTTACGCACAGGTCTGACGGCTGACTCTGCTGTGGTTTAACTTGAAGTCATTGTTTTTATTCTGAGCTGAATAATAATAAACTAGTAAATTAATTTTACAATAATGTTTTAATGTTTTTTGTGTCTGTAAATTCGATAAGTAGTTGAAAAAATACCTAGATTTTCAAGTTTGTAGTTAGTTTCTGATAAAAATTTCGATCTATTTTGTGATTTAAATATGTGATAGGTACACAAAACATCGCATTTATGTTTTTTATATGTATTCTAGCGAGAATATCAGTCTATTTGATTACAGAGAAATTTTTGCTAATACGTGTTATGGTTGTTATCATAGAAGATTCTGAAGAGGACTGTTTTTAATTTGAAAATAAAAACATCTTCTAGCATTGTAGTTTTAAGAAACTGTTGGTTGTGACGTGATGTTATCAAGTGTTTAACAACGTCGTTCCAGGGGCGCCTAATTGTTACTTACGCGTATTGAATCTTTACGGAAACTCTTCTAAATCTCCCCCCTCCAAGTTATGTTATAAAGATTAAAAGATTAATGTTGGGTTTCTCGTAAAATTGATTAATTTAATGAACCAGTCACAGATCACTTGATTATTTTTAAGGGACCATTAGCTCACCATTGCAGGTTCATTAAATGTTTATTTATTTTTTTTTTTTATAGTAATTACTGATTACCATACATATACATATATGAGTAATAATATTCAATGATTAGAATAAAATATGGAAAGAGGTAAATTTAAATATTTATTTCCATGATAAAAATTATCCCCCTCTTGTCACTCCACATTACGTTTATGTAGGGTCGTAGGGACCTATCCAATATTCATTGATACTCGTACTGGTGCCAGCAAAGGACTCAATAAAAAACCTTTCAGGGCTCAGGACGCTCAGGTAACCAAAAATATAGCAAAAACGCTACAAAATTAATGCGTTTAAATAGTCGTTGATTATGTTAAACGGTTAGCAGTGTTAGCATTCTTAGTTAATGAAATTAAGGACGAATGACGATACTTAAGAAGTGACCCTAACCTGACTAGCCGAATTTTAGACCATTAACTTTTTGGTCTTTATACATTATATGACACAGTGTAGAGATTTTCAGGGTGAACCTTTGTGCAGAGGTTCTATAATATATGGTTACTTGAATCAGTTCCAAATCCAAACATCTGGTACCTATATTTGTGGGATACATTGATAACCTGATGGCATTTTTGTGGCTGTCGTCCACATCTCACAACGGCTTGAGTTAGTGGTCAATTCACCGTTGGCCTCTGTCATCAAAGAGTGCTATTATTTAGATGACACAAATTTCATTTGATTCATCAGAAAACAGAGGCTGCATAAGCTTATTCGCAAATGTGCATATACAATAACCTTGACCGCTGATCTGTTACTAGAACATTTTACTGAATCTCTCAAAAGTAGCATGAAAGACAGCTAATTATTGTGGGTCGTCCTTGACTTTCACCTGACCTATATATTATACTAACTTATAGATGTGTAGGTACACCCTTTATATGGCTCTAAAACAGTTTACATCGATATTTACGTGTAGATAATATAATTTTAAAAACATGTCGAGTTGAGTAGATACTTATTAATCAAACGTCATAATTTAGTTCCCAGTGTTTGGAATTAAGTGTAAACACTCAGTCGCGTAATTTTTATTTGATGTGTAGCAGTGAATAATATGCAAGATATTTACTAAACTAATTACAACTTAATTTAAATAAATATATTAATAATGATAAAACAATACGTTTATGTATTAAAATCGATATTACTTAAATGAAAAATAAAAAGAACCTCTGTGTTACTTCATGAAATAAGTCAATAGACGCTGCCACGCTGGACATGATAAATAATATTATTAAGTAGGTACTATTACTATATAGGTACCTAATGGCTAATGTAGTAATGTTATGAATGTTATGATGATTAAAAATCGCCTTGACCATTGTCGAGGAACAGCGCTGCAATTTATATCAGCAGTCATCAGCTGCTGCGAATTCAACCAATCAAAATTGTGGCAAGGATGACCGAAACCCTACTTACTATTTGGTTGTGCGCGAATCTCTTTTTTATGGGGAGAGCCGTGAATTCTTATCAGTGTGACAGTGTCCATTCCGTTTTCATAATTGTGATATCGCTTCGTCTCGATTTCCTACAATTGTTATTTGTCGTATACTAATATACTATACTCTTGTATTAAACATTTTTTTTTACGTTCAAGAATTTAGGTTATTTTTTACTCTTCTATCCGTTTTCGTATGTTATAACAAACGTATTATTTTTAATATATCGCACGCCGGGGCTTCGACATTAATAATAATCGCACTTTTCTGTGAATTAAGCGAATAGACTTGGTAGTGTTGTGATGTAATCGCAAAATCCTTACAGCAATCGAACGAGATTCACAACAGAAAACCGCCTCAGAAATTTCTCACAGAAAAAAATAAAAATCGTCCTATAGCTTCCGTTTTCCAATCATGTGCTCAAAATCGTTGCTTCTTATGTTACTATGGAGTAGTGCAATGTTAACATTTGTGCTTCCTGCATTCTGTGATGTACTCGGTGAATCTAGTTTTAATTCGGCCAAAGTCCGGATCACGGAACCAACCGATTCTGGTAAGTGAATCATATGTTACTACCTAATCAGAAAATCATAATATGAATTATACATGTTTGTTATTTATTATTTTATTGTTATCCAATGCCCCTTTACTGTATTGTAAAAAAAAAAAAATACTATTTCACAGTATAAATGTTTATGAAAATTAATGCCTAAATTTATGTTTAACTAGTAATTGAAAAATATTGTAAAAGTTCTATGGTGGGTAGGTATTTCAATTTTTGATAAATTTTACTTAAAAACTGTACAATAGAGTATAAGTGAAGTCTTGTAAGTACCTATTTATCAAACACAAGTATTCTGTATTACATACATTTTTGTTTTTTATTTAAATTATTTACAAAATCGTTGTGAAGGTTTTTTGTTTAATTTTGATCCTAATTTTATATTCTCTGTTTATTATTATTATTTGTCACAATAATTACTTTTAATTTAATATATTTAATTGTCCAGATAAATACCAAACCACAATTAGGTTTAGTAGAATTGCATTTTTTCTCAACTCCCAGTTAATGATTATTATTATGAATATTTCTATTTTAAAGCTTATTTTGAATTTATAGTTAACAAAATTATATTAAATTTATTTACTATGTACATAATCAATAATCACCATAGTTTATTGATGTTATTTAGGTACATAGAATGTTTAATTTGTTTACACATTAAAACTGATGCAAGATTAAAATATATACAATACTTAATAAGAGAATTTAAATTTTTACATTCATAAATATTTTTCACTTCTTATTTCTGTTTTTAAACAATACTGAGTACTTAATTTATTTTTAAGTTTGATTAAGTTAATAACAAATACCTAGTTTTAAAATTATTTTTAAAATATTTAATAGATATTTAAATTTTAAAATAGAATAAAAAATTAATTAAAAAATAAACATTTTAAATAAATAATGCATTTGGTACATTGTATACTTATTTAATTGTATTGCTAGCCAAGAGATAGATAAATAGATGTAATGTTCCAGACACATATTCTCTTTCAATTGTTAAATAATGGTATCTAACTATTTAACTTACCTATTAGCTATTAAAATGATGTATAAATTATTCTAACTGGTAATTTAACCTATCAAAAATAACTAATTTATATTAAAATTTCAGTGAGTTGTAAGCCTAAGCAATTGCTTATGTTTGATTTTAACCTTATAATAATGATTTTTATGTGTCCTTGTGTTTTTTAAATTATCATTTGATAATTCTTTGCAGTATTTATTTCTATTAGGATAAATGCTTAGTGTTATTTAAACTGCTTATTTTCCAAAATTAGATACTTTACATTTCAATTATTACTTAATTCTTGAAAAATTACATGCAATTTTTATAGTATAAAATATGCAAAATACTCATATGTTTAGATAAATAACTGTTTACTATGAATTATTATATTTTTTATTTTTTAATTTATGCTACTTACTCTTAACTATGAAGATTGAATTTAAGAATAATGTTTATTAGGATTACTTAGTTTGTAATTATGTAAGAAAGAGAATGATTTTAAATTTATATATTCATTAATATAAATTAATTTTTCTTCAATATTATTCTTTAATACCTACATAAAATCTTATAATTAGTTTAATTTCTTATAAATCACATTTTGATCTTTTATTTTAAGGAGGTGTTAATGATTCATGTAACGATGATATTGCATGTTTGACAATGGCTACCCAAGATAGGTTGGGTTTAGAAGCAATTCGATCTTTACATCGACAACTAGATGATGATGCAGATGGTGCTATTGATCTTTCAGAATCTGATGATGTAAGTTTATCTTAAATAAAGAAGTATTATAATAATATTTGAAAATTTTAAAAATAAATTATTTTTAATAATTTATTAGTAATTGGTTAATAGAGATTATCATTATTAACAATTACATATTAAAAAGTAATGCAAATATTGAGCCACTTTAGTTTTATACTTAATGTTAAGTGATATTATTTCTAAAAATATTGAGGTGATGACTACCTTGTCTTATTTTATGAAATTAAAGACAGGGCAAATTGCCAGATATGTACAACAGTTGTCACATTAGTGAATTTTTAGTAATAATTGATTTTTTAATGACACAGTTGATAACTTATATTATACTTTTGTGTTGGAACAAAGCCTGTGTTTTTTGTACATATTTTTAACATAATGTTTATATTAGTACAATTTTTTGAGTAAACTGATGTATTATTATTTATTATTCTAAGTTTTAATACCAGAATACCCTCTTAAAATGTGAAAGATAAAACTTTATTGGTATCACTTACAACATAATAGAGTATATAAATAAAAAAAGGGGAAGATTCTAAAATTATAATTTTTTACTAATATAAAAGTAAAAAAAAATATTTAAACAGTGTTTGTATGTTATGGTATAGAAATTAAGTGTAGCTAATACCTAATAAAATATTTAAATTTATATCATTTGTATTGTGAATTATTATCAGTTGAACGAACATAGGTAGTGTGGTCATGATTTTACCGTTTAAAAGAGGAACATTTAAAAAAAAATAGTTATGAGTTACTTTAAAAAAAGTTATTAATATTGACCATACTTATTAATTTGACTTCTGTATATTATTAATATTATTCAATAAAGTAATATTTGAATACTAAATTTTATAGACATAATATGGTTATAATTGATCATTGAATAATGATGGTAATATATATTACTATATATTCCTCAATAATGACTATTTAAAACCACAAACCATAGATATTAAAACATTTATTTTTTAAAATACATATTGTATAATATATTTTTAACTGTCTGCTCGCCACGCGTATCTCGTCCATTGCATTCTTATACTTTTAGTAAATTGTACAGTATCTTCCCTTCTATATACGTCTTTTAGCTGTGTGTTTTTTCTCAATTCTCATTGTTGTGTTTCGGTATTAAATACTGAGCCATGTATTCTTAGGATCTTCCTTTCAAATCTTTTAAGTTTTTCTTCGTCACCTTTGGTTGTGTATCATGTGGCACACGCTTAAGTCAATACTGGTCTTATATAGTTTTTCTTTGACATTTTTTGATATTGTTTTGATTTAAAGAGATTTTTTATTGCGAAGTTATATCGATTTGCTGCCTTCAGTCTCACATTTATCATATCAAAATTAATATTTTTGTTGTTTAGAGCAGCGTTTCTCAAACTTTTTTTCATGGGCCCCCCTAAATTTAATGTAAAACTGTTAACGTTAAGGCCTTCTTAATCAAAATCATTATTTATTTTTTTTTAATTATGTACTAAAATGACATAATAACTAAAAAAATAAATATTTCACAGTTCACCAGTCATATAGCCACAGCCCCCAGTTTGAGAAGCACTGGCTTAGAGTCATTTCGATGTTATCTAAATTATTTTACTTGTTTGAATTCTTTATTTTCTACTTTAAAGTTGGAACTATCTTCTGATCCTCTTGTAACTACCATGTATTTTGTCTTCTCTAAATTTACTACTAGACCCATGTTTTTACTTGCCTTCATTAAATTCTTCAGATTCATTTGAATTTCTTCTCGCTTGTTTCTAATAATTATGATGTCATCAGCATATACAAACAGTAATCCTTTATTTAGTGATGAGGTTTCCCTGTCTGACATGTTTTGAATCATACGTTCCAATATTATGTTAAAAAGTACAGGTGACATGGTATCTCCTCCCTATCATAGTCCACTTTTGATTTCAAAAGTCATAGACACTTCATTCCCAAGTTTTACTCTATTATATGTTTTACTGTTGCATAGTTGTATCATTTTGATAATTTTCATAGGGATGCCAAGTATTCTGAGTGCCTCCCACAGTTTTTCCCTGTTTATGCTATCATAGGCCTGCTTATAATCCATAAACACCATATTATGCAGCTCCTTTGCATGCTCATAGTGTTTTTCCATCAATTGTCTGACTACAAAAATATGGTCTGTGGTTGATCTTCCTTTCCTGAATCTACTTTGGTATTCTCCTTCGATTTCTTCAGCAAGTCCCTCTAATGTTTTTAGTATTATTAATGACAGAATCTTATATCCTATATTCATCTTCACCCCTAATGTGGAATTTATAGTTAGTAATCACACTTAAGTAGTATAAAGTTAATATAAAAAAATATATTCTAAATTTCTTATACATAAAAAGTAGGGTTTGTCTATATTTAATATAAAATTATTTTTATAACAAACATTTTTTTAGTTATTTCAAAATATATTTAAGACATAGATAAAAATTTAATTCATGTATCATAAAAATATATTTTCAAACTGGTAGAACCTATATAAAAGTATAAATTAATGTATTTTTATCATAAAAAAATTATTTATAAATAATTAACTATAATATTTTGATGAAGTAATGTTTATTATAATAATTAATAACTATATTGATAAAAATATTAAATTGCTGCCTACATTTGTTTAACTATTCTATTATGTTTTTTATGTATTACTATAACTGCTTAAAAAAAAGTAAAAACTAAATACCTACAAGTTTAAAATGGCCTTCACTTTCATGGACGATATAAAATTATGACAGTCTGTTGACTCATTTCACTTAAAGATATGTTAAACAATTATTTTAAATATTTAATTATTTAGAAAATTGTATTTTTAATTTTCGTCACAATTAATTCTTATTTTATTTAAAAAGAATTGGATTCCATCTTTAAGCAGGAAGTAAATAAATGTCAAAAATAGTTTCAAAATATTTTGACGTCTCAAAGTTATTTGATCATTATATAAATCACATTACATTTAAGTATAATAAATCATAATAGAAATATTTTCATTATGCAATAATTTCCTTAATTTTATTTGTACCTTGTATTTTTACTGTTTAAATTATTAACCAAATAATGTGTTATGTATATCTTCTACATAAAGAATATTTCCTCAATAAATAGGATCAAATAAGTAAATAAGTAATTTTATAAAAAAAGAGGTTTTTTTATTAAATGGAAAAATTTACACAAATTTAGCATACATAAACTTTATTTATATACTATGATTATGAAAAATTGAATACTTAGAAGAATTATAATTTAATGTTGATGATTTTTTCACTGAAGTTGGTTAATTAGTTTTATGGTACTTTTTATGAATATTAAGCATATAAATATCTTAAAGTTTTAACTATTAAATACTAACAATTTTAAATCTAAATAAGATTAATTAAAAACTTCTATTTTAAAGATCTTAAACAAGTCAGGTGATATTGTAATATGTTTAGCTTAAAACTATATTCTAAAAGATTTTTAAAGTATATTGATAAAAGATTTTTAACTATCCTTAGTTTTTAATTTTTTAATGGTGTGTGTTAATTTGGTGGTCTATTATATTTGGTACTAAAGTTTTGTTGTATCATCAAATATTTTACATTTTTTTTTTAGGTTAGGCCCCATTATTTATGGAGACAATACAATACTTTTATCTTTCCTAAAAACAGAAAATGGCTTGAGATAGTGAAATAAATATTAATGGTTCATTTGTATGTCTGGATTTTAATATTCAAAAAATGTACAGTTTTAAAATGCTCGTAATTTTTTTCATAAATCAATAAACACTTCCGAAATTCCTTCGATAATATTCCCTTGAAATTTTATGATAAATTAATTAAATTTAATTTTTAAAATTATTGAGTAAAATAGATTATTTTAAATGTAAAATTTGCAATATTGTATGTTTGTAAGACGGAGACAACACATGTGAGTGTGATGTCTTCTTAACAACATTATAGCTTAGTGTATTTAGTTTTATCAGTTTATTGCGCATAAAAAAATGTAACATGATTTATCATTAATTATTGTAGTATTGGAGATGAACTTAATTATTGTGCTACTGACTAAACAATTTGAGGTTATTAATTAAATTGAACACTATACTCGTTCGTGTATATTGGATATTCTATGTCAATGACCTCGTGCAAATACATCATATTCCAATAATAAACATTAATAAATATTATATAAATAATATTTAATTTTTTTTTTTTTATTTATTATGTACTAAAGTTGATCAAAACTGTTTAAAAGCAGTATTTTAATGTATTATATTTTATATTTTTCTTACAAGTAGATGAGTAATGTACTCAGTATGTATTTCAATATAATATAATATATTATTTTATTTTAACTCATTTAAATGCTTAAATTATTGCACTGTGCACAGTACTACCTCAATACAATAGTATATTGATATTAGGATACAGCTACTGCGCGGTAATTTGATTTAAACATTCACTTTTTAAAAGTTCATTATAAAATACATTGTATTATTATAATTTTATACCTATATTTAACTATATTTTGTGTATCCACATAATTATTATTTATTATTATTCGAATTCCCAAAACACGGAAAATACGTAAATATACTCAATAAAAGGTTATCTTTAATATACACTTCACACAGTTGTAGTTTTTTTTAAAGTTATATTACAGTTAGGTAATGCTTGATTATTTATTCAAATATAAATGTAATAGATGTATTGACATTTTTAACATTTAGGTATATTTTTACACTTTGTCATTAATAATGATATATCCGGGATAAAAATAAGCGAAAAAGTTTGTTAATTACTGGGTTGGGAGTAAAGATAAAAAGAAGTCACTGATTTATTGAGATTTTTCTAAGTATTACGAAAATATTTAGACATGTTAGGGTTAATATTGTAGTAGAAGAGAATGTACGTTAAGTGGAAGTAAAGCTGTTCGAAGAAAGGGTAGTAAAGAAAATATGTGAAATTTTAGTTTATTAATTTACTTGCCTGTTTAATTCCGGGTTCATACTATGCTGTGTCGTGTTTTATATATTTAATATATTAATACGCAGGCAACAAAACGTTGGTAATATATTACCTACTTATTAAATTCTACCTTACAAGAAACAGTGTAGTGTGAAAACTCCTCGGCTTAAAAACTAAATAAATAATTTTTGCATATGGGTAATATCTGTAACTGCAGGCACAGATCCAGAGAAAAGATCTCGGGGTGAGGGAAGGCAAACAATTTTTTTATAGGTACTTTATTCATAATTTAAAATTTTTGTCATAATAGTAGCTATAGGTAATCAATTTAATAAATTAATTAATGATTATTTAATATAATATAATATTTATAAATTAAATAATAAAATTTAAATGTCTATATTTACATTTATATTTTTCCCGATATATATATTATATCCACCTTGTATATAATATATTATATTATCAGACGTATATGTGATTTGAAAAATAGTAATGTCAGGATCTGTAAAATTATAAAAAAAAAAATTGAGAAATAATGTTTGGGAAGGAGGCTGATCCGCTAGGCCCCCCTTGGATCCGTCCCTGTCTGTAAATATTTTAAACATACATTTTTTCTGTAATGATCATGTAAACGTAAACCCTACGGCTTACATATTATATGATAAATATTAAATAATTATAATTTTTAAGCTACCTAATATGTATAAATATTTATCTTTAGTTTTTATTATTGCTACATGTTGGTGTCTGGTGTTTTATTAACATTGAATTTACCAATAAATCCATAATGCAGTCTTAACTATTTAAAAAATAATTTTCTCTTTAATAAAATATGAATTTATAAAATCAAAAATTAAATTAGAGTTTAAATTATTAATAATTTATTAGTTAAAATGTGTTATAATTAAATCTTATTAGTTTTAAATTATTATGTTTACCAATGTTTTGATGTGACGAAATTTGCCTCATTTAGAAACTTAAATTTTTTGTAAATAATTGTATAATTACTTTAGTAGATGGTGAAATATTGTTATTAATCATATAATGCATTTGGGAGTTTTAGTGACGTTTCTAAGTATAATGTTTCCCAATTGAGTCAATATTAATAGGATCAACGAAAATAAGTTACAAATTAATTTATATTCCCCCCTCACAATATTGTTAGTAGTTTATTTATACATATGGTTGTGCGAAAAAAGTACTGAATATTTCCGTTTCAAATTAAAATTATACTCCCAGGCAACCTAAATTTTGGCAGTTTGCTCCTAGGAATATTATAGGTGGACCATTTTTTTGTATTTTTTATAAATAGTGTGTTGAACGAATTTGGCACTTAAAACATTCTTACGTGAATACATAAAAAAATACAATTGAGCGTGTTTGCGGAAAGCATTTAAAAAAATATATTAAAGATTACGTCTCATTTTAAGTCATAAATCAGAATATAAATTGTGTTAATAAATTTGTTACTATGCTTATTATTCATTTAAATTATATGTTTACAATATAATTAAATTGACGTAGGTAGGTATCAAATAAAATATTAAGGGTGATGATAGTATTTTTTTTAATTATTTTTAACAATATTGATTTAAAATTGATCATTACAGTTCATTAATTATTAGTTAGATATTACTATATTAGTGTAGTACTATAATATTAATCATAAATCACTAATTATATAAAATATTGTTTTGGTTATAACTGTAGTATAGTTCATTTGTTGTATTTCAAAACGATTTGTGGGAGCGTTTAAATTTAAAATGATGTTTTTCGATATATTTCTTCTGTAGATTTACTCAAAATATAATAATGTACACTATTGATGCATAATTAATATAATATATTTTTATTTTACTACTTATTAACTTTTAAAATCTAATAATTAATAACTAATTAGTAATAGGTACTATATTATAGTCTGTATTTTACTTTAATATTTCACTATAGTAAAAAATAATTAAGTGAATTTGTTTAATACTTCTTCTGTATCAACTTCATTAGTGAGATTTGATGTAGGTGAATAAACACGAGTATTTATCACTGTCAATATTTTGTATGAGGAATTTTCAAAATTTGATCATGATTTAGAATTTACAATCGAAAATTGAGAAAAAGGTATATAACTCGACATGTATTATGTGCCACCAGCTTTAAAAAAATATATTGGCAATTTTTGTGAACTGAATTCCTATCAAAATTATTATTTTAATGCAATGGTTTATTAAAGATTTTCAAATGTATTGCTAATTTTTGCCATTAGATCTGTGGAATATTTTCGTAAAAAAACTTTTATAAAAGTAGATTTTTTAAAACGCGTTTATTATTGTGAAATTTTGCAATAATATAGTTAAAGGATATATAATTTAAAATCGATTACAAATTATTTGATTCTTATAATGACTATATTATTATTTTAAAAATGCCCAAAATTGTTTAGTTGATATGTAAAAGTATTGTTATATTATTATTTATTATTAAAGAAAATTGTAATATTAATTTATAACATTTTTATATTTTTGCTGTGTTTTTTTTTCTTAAATATTCTATTGAATATTATAGAAAAAGCTTGAAAGTGCTTTTCAATAGTCAACACTCAAAAGTTTTTGTTTCTGTCTATAATACTTAAAATCTGCAAACTTACTTGTCTCTAATAAAATATTAACAAGAATGATAAAATTTTTATTCCAAATAATGTATCTCCGATTACTGAATAAGTTTTTATAATTTTATAGTACATCTTTAATGATGACCTTTGCTACTTTTTGATTTTGGTGCATTGCAATAAACTGAATGACACGTTAAGATGAAGATCCTATTGTATCTATATTCTACATGTCATGGTAGGCCAAGGTTGATACTTGAGTAATTTAATAATAGTTGATCAATATACAATCTTCTGTATGTAATACGTTTGGTTTTACTAGGTTAATCTAAACCATGCGGCTATTGCAAACTATAACTATCAACAAAAATGTATCGATTCAACAAGAGATTACATTACCAAAGAAAGAACTTATTATTTAATTTATAAAGTTCATATTTTTCATTTTTTTTTTTATGATCTTTTGAAGAAAAAGATTGAATGTCCATTGTTCACACATTTTGTTTCTTATAAAATATTTTAGTTAATATGATTAAAACTGAACTAAATTGCATATAATTCCAAATTTATGTCGACATTTTTAAATTTTACTAATAATAAAATTTTATTTTAATTGGAATTTTGTGTTTTTTATTCTACAGTTTCTTCGCGAAGAATTAAAATATGAAAAAGGTGCAGAAAAACGTCAAAAAGCATTTCATCAAAATGATGATATGTATATATCTGTTAAAGACTTGTGGGATGCTTGGGTAAAGTCTGAAGTAAGTATTAGTTTTTTGTTCACAATAATAATATAAATCATAATTTTATACATCTATATAAAAACTTAAATATAATATTGAAGTTCATGAATATAGTTTATTTGTATATTATATTTTAGGTACACAATTGGACTGTCGAACAAACTTGTGATTGGCTTTCTACATCAGTAGAATTGCCCCAATATGTTCCTAATTTTATACAACATAGAGTGACCGGAGCCCATCTACCTAGGTTAGTAACAATTGTACAATTATTGCCTATGTTATGTATATATTGAATATACAGTATACTATACGAATTTTTAGGCATTTGTATATAGAGTTTGGCTTGTGAAGGGAGGGGAAATTAATAAACATAATATGAATATGAAAATCACAAGGCCTTATTTTAAAGCATAGTTAACACATTTTATTGAGTCGGGGAAGCATATGCCTATAGTTACGTAGTTACGTAGGTATTAGAAAATCAATTTTTTCGTAGTCTATCGTTTGTTTATTTGTCATGATAAAATGCAGTAGGTATATTGTATATATTGTATCCATACTAGTATTTTGATGGTTATAGTTATAATGGTTATTGGTTAGTTTATTATAAGAAATTCAATACCGGAAAACCTGTATAATAAACTAATATTTTCACGAATGAATTAATAATAATTATTTATTAGGTGTCAATAATTTTTATCGAAGTTTTAGGTTATTCCTGATCAAGAGATAACCTGACTTATGGTTATTAAATTATAATCAAGTGGTTTGTATTGATTTTTAACATTTTAGGAAAATTCTATAAACATACTGTTTTGGCTTTCATTTTGCTTTTGGTACCAATAACAAAAACAAAATCAAAACATTATTAAATGCAGAAATTATTCTTAGTTGATATGTATCGATAGGAATGTAGAATCACATAAAAGTTAAGCATCTTAAAGCACTACTATAAAATGTGATAAAAATTCGTTTATTTAATTATAATTGTAATCTATTTCTACAAAAAATTAAAAAATTAATTTCATAAGTACTTAGGTATCTATATCAATGTTTTCATTATGATCTTGTAGATTATTTACTATATTGTGTCACCATATTAGCGATAATAATATATAATAATTATTTTATCTTATTCATCAATAAAAATGTAATTAAATTCTAATTTACCGGGTAATTTTTTGTCATGAATCATTCAATATTTTAAAAACTATAAACGTTTAGAAAATACTTTTTTACATAATTGTAAGTAATAAAAAAAACAAAGTTTGTTGTGTGATATAGGCGTATCCCTAAAAAAATGTTGGTCCACTATTCCGTTTTAAACTTGAAATACTTATAATTCATAAACTAATCGTCTAAAATTTGATTTATACATATCGAATATATCGAATAATTTTCTGCTTCGAAATATTAAATTAAAAATGTATATTATCGCATAAAAAATTTAAAAAACTTGAAAATAGTAAAAAAAATATATAGTTTTTTAGATTCTGAGCGAAACGATGAATGTATTTATTTTACAATGATATGGTTTTTTTTTTTTTGCTAAATTATACATTTTTGAACTTGAAGATGTTTTTTGGTAGAAAATAGGTTGTAGTTTTACTCTGGGGGCTAAAAATAAAACATTTTCCGGTATTTTTCTTAATAATCAGGGAAAACAAAAAATTAAGGTAAAACGAGAGTTTTATGTAAAAATGTTTTTGACAAAATTTTTATTTTATTTTGTTATAGTTTTAGAGACTTAAAATTTTAATAAATACCTATTAATATAATCATTTTTCAAGTGTAATAATTTTCAAAATATTTTGACTTTTTTTGAGCTATTTATAGACGATTAAAATTAAAGATTTTTTCTTATTAGTTTTTATTTTATAAAAATTATTTAATCTGTCTAAAAGATTTAAAAATTAATACAAGGTTCATCATAGTTTTTATTTATAGTAATAAAAAAAATTGAGTGTAAATCCATAAATAATATTTATAAGCGCTTGAAATTAAAGAATCTTTAGCAAATTTCGTTGAATTCACAAAAATTAAAAAATCGTTTTGTAGTTAAAAATTCCTAAAATTTGAAAACTAATACAACATTGTTCATAAGTCATAAGTAATTCATATTACAACTAAAACTCTAAAAAAAAAAAAAAATAAAAAACAAAACTATTTTGTTATAATTCATAAATTGTATTTATTAGATTTCTAATTTTGAATTTTGAGTGTCATTTTAGTTAGTTTGTATGTTTATATGTTTATTTTATTGTATAGTCTTTTATATTTTGAGTGTATTATTTTAAAATTTTATTTTTAACACCTTGATGTTTATTTATTGAATATGAGTTTGCGGTCCATTTCAAAGTTATTTTTAATGATGCTTAGTTATTACAAATTAATAATAATCATTGGTACATTATAATGTTTATAATTTTAGATTAGCAGTTACTAATATGCAACTTTTGAATAATGTACTTGGAATCAAGGATCCTATTCATAAACAAAAAATTGCATTGAAAGCTATGGATGTAGTTTTATTTGGACCTCCTAAAGGTTAGAAATTAATTTATACAAGTAGAAATAATAAATATCATGATAAACTTTTTATTTTAAAATATTCTAGATTTTATTTTTAAATATTTTAATTTTATTTATAGAATCAGTCACACATTTGAAAGATTTAGTTTTAATAACATTATTGTTGGGAGCATTAATTGGTTTTTGGTATGTTTACAACCAAAATAAAAGTTCAACACTACATTTAAAACGCATGATGAGAGATATGGAAGGTTTGCAAAAAGCAGAAACTGCTTATGAAGATTTACAGGTATAAATTTTATATATTATATAACTTGTTAAATTGTTTGTTTTATTATATTTTTAATAATTTAATTTTAGAAAGAACTAGAAAAAGCAAAACAAGTACAAGAGTATGTTATTACTGAAAAAGCAAATTTAGAAAAACAGTTACAAGAACAACAAACTAAAGATGAAAATTCATCAGAACTGAAATCATCTTATTCTAATTTGGAAATTTCTCAACTTAAAACAGAAATTGAAGTAATATGAAATATATGAAATATGTTTTTAATAGTTACAAATAATAATTAAAATTTTTAGTCATTAAGAGGAGAATTAGCAAGAGCAGAAGGTGAATTAGATGACCGTTGTTGGACACCTCCACATGGATTACAGCAATGGTTACAACTAACACATGAAATTGAAAATAAATCTTATATTAAAAAGAAATTAAGCGCTGAAAAACAGTTACAGCAAGCAAGAGAAGCGGTAATAATTTATTTAGTACAGAGTTCAAATAATGATAATGAATATAATATTGTAACATTTCACATATACAATTTTTCTTCCAGTGTGAAAAATTACGTAAAAAAAGATCCAGTTTAGTAGGTGCATTTGTGTCAACTCATGGAAAATCAATTGATGATGTTGACCGTAGTATTGTTGAAGCAAGGTAATACATTAATACACCAATGTATAAATTGTATAAATTAATATTTATTTTGTATTTTAGAACATCATTAAATGAAGTTACTCAAGAACTTGCAGAAAGAGTGCATCGATGGAAACAAATTGAAATATTATGCGGATTCAATATCATAAATAACAATGGTCTGTCTCATTTAGAAAACACGTTGTATAGAAATGTAGTGAATGGGCGAAACTTCTCACTGCGAGGTTTGTGCAATTTTTAGGTATTAATTATAATTGATTATTATAATATTTATTTTTATTTCAGGGCGCATGAGTAGCCAAGATGACCTCGAAGACGATTCTAGCCAGTATTCAGTTTGCGTGGGTCCAGGTAAGGGAAGGGACGATGAATCTATTGGTTGAAATTTACCACTGCTTGTTTGTCTTATACTGTTTCTTCGAGTGTTTTCTATTGCTTGCAATAATATTTAATTATTGTTCAATTAATTTGAAATAAATACAATTTTTCTTGTTATTTACTAGATATTTTCATTATTTATTCTCTTACATTAGAATTTGATTTAATTCAATGCGTTTTAACAAAAATACCATCATGTCTTTTAATATTATAACTGTATTAAATTGATAAATTATTATGTTATCTATATAATTATTTTTATATTATCTACTATTAAAAAAAAGAAAGTATTTTATTGTAATCCATTATTACATTAATTATAGAATAAAGCTAATGAACATTATTTTTTATTACTTGAATTATTATTATAAATATTAAAGTTTTACAATTTATTTAACAATGAAATGAACAAGTCATTCTATTATTAATTATAGTATAACTTAATTTAAATCAACTATGTTGTAAATGTATTATACCAATGAAATTAAGAAATGTTATACTAATTTTTATCATTGAAATATTTAAAAAGATAATTTGTTTTGTTGGAATATTTTTGAAATTTTAATCTGTAATAATTGAGATAGCTTATATTTAATTTGATATTTTAAGTTTAAATATGGCTTGTATGATTTTTATTTATATTACCACTTATTATTTGCTTACCTCGTCTTATGTGTATTTGTTTTTTTAGTTTTATTTTAATTCATATTTTTAGTTTTAAAAGTTATTAGTTGTTTTAATTTTGAAGCATTAGATATTATTTGGCCTATACATTAATATGTTAAGATATTATTACTTGGTGCATTTAAATAATTTAATTAATTTTTATTTTTAATGCTGCATGAAGATGAGTTTTTGTGGTAAGCAAAATGTAACAATAATATTATTTCAAAACAAAACTACTGGTGTTAAGACAATAAAAAGGAAAATTCTAGTCAAATTGGCAATAACATTTACTTTCATCATTATGTGTACACTTACAATACTAAATATTATTTTTTTAAAGTTAATTTAATATTTTTTCTATTTAAATTTTAAACAAATTGTTTGTATAAAAAAAAAGTTTCATAGAAAATCTTCATAGGAGGTCATGCTTGATTATAATATATTTGTAAAAGTAACAAACAAAATTATCTTATAGAATATATTAATTTGTATAATCTAATACAATTTAGAATTATTATTAAGTATAAGGTATTGTAAAATTAAATAATATTTATAAATGTTATCTTTTCCAAAAAATAAAATGTTAATTGATATTTTTAATATTTATAATAATTATAAACATAAACATAATTTAAATTAAATTTTATTGTATTGTTCTGATACTCATAAATACATGTGACTTAACTCAAATTTATCTAATAAATGTAGTTTTATTTAATTTAGTATATATATAAATGTATATGTATATATATTATATATATATATATCATAGAATATTAATACTTTCATTTGCTTGTGTGTTTTAATAAACATTTTCAACAACTTTTTATCTTTTTTAATTTTCATTAATATATTTACAGGGACGTCGTATCAAGACCTTGGTGTTTGTGAAAATTCCGGACAATGGCGGGACAACGGCCAGGATTCTTCAGGGAGCGATCAATTAGAATGCGTGGACGAAGAGCAACAAACCCATTCCTCGGATACAAAACCTTGTTTCATACTCGGCGAAGACATATGTGATTTGAAACAACCACAGCAATCTGTTCAAACAACAGACCCAAAGATAAAATCACCTAATGTTGATAGCAACCAATTCATATCTGAGCAAGTTGTAAGACTATTATTTCAATATTATATTATATGTTTCCTGAAATAAATAATTATTTTTACCATTCACAATTTTAGAATAAAAGAATTTAATGTCTAAATACTTAATTCTAATATAATTCCTTGTTTTTGGTCGTAATATTCTAAAACTATATATCTCAATCAAGCAATACATTAGCAATCAAAAAAAAAAATAAATAAATAAATAATAATAATTTTAATTCTAGTTAAAATTCTAAACTTAATAATGTAATGAGTATGCCAACATAAAACCAATAAAGATTCCTAGTTCCATTTATCATTTTGAATCTAAAAATGTTAATTTATTAAAAAAAATATATAATATATTCATCTTTGTTAATTTTGTATAATTAATTTTAAATATTAAATACATTTTTGAAAAATGATATATTCTAATATTTATAAGTTATAATTTATAACAATTAAAAACATTTAATATTTATGTTATAGGTCGTTCCTGATACGTTCCGCCATTCAAATTCAGAATCTAGTTTAGATCCAAAACATCGAAAGATATCAAGAGTATCTAGCCGTTCAGATATTGTCTTAGTATCTCCAACACCTAGTGAAATGTCTGTAAAACGCATTAAACGTCACAAATTATTCCCAATATTTTTGTCTGCTAAAAGTAAAGCAGCTAAATCCTATCAAAACTCAGAAAACCCTAATGTAAATAATAATAAGGCGATAAAATCATCTAAACAAAAATCATGATTCTGCTCATTCCTTTGTATATGTTGCTTGTATATAATAATGATTGTGATAAACGTGATTTAGGAATGTTGAATATAAGTGATTAATTATTTGTTATTTTAATGTATTATACATATTTATTTATATGTATCTAGTTTTAGATTGAATTATGCACAAAACAAGTAATTCCAATTATTGTTTTAATAATTTTTAATAATGTTATAATATGTGTAAATTAATTGTTAATTTTAATTGATACATTTTATAGAAGGTGCCTTAAAAGTACTTAGAGCTGTTAAATGGTACTTAATTTATAAAGACAAGGAAATATATATTTATATTATGTATTTTTTATTAACCCTTTTGATAAGATTGTTGAACTCAAGAACATTATTCATAGGACTGAACAATGTAAAAACTTTATTAGACAATTAACTGCAATAATGAATGTAATAATACAATTTATAAGTGTTCACATTTTTAAGTAAACACAAGTTATTTAAAGACATTGTTTTGATTATTAAGTAACTAATTTTAAGTTCCATTCTTAATTGTATAGAATTATACTTTGATGATTGTTACTATGTATACCAAAATATATAATTAATCATTTTTTTAAATTCAAGATTATAATTAAGAAGTTTTAAAATCCTTATAGTATAAAAAATTTTAAAATAATATTTATGAAAGGTTTTTACGACATAAAAATAACTAAACATATTCATTAATACAATTTTTTTTCAATTGTCTCATTAAATAATAACAACCAATGTAGAAAAAAGTAAATTAATTATTTGATAAAAATTAATAACTTATTATAACCTTTAAATTATAAAACTTAAATTTCAAATTATTTAACCATTTACTTATAACTTATAACACACTATCAGTTTTTAAAATATTTCATGTTATATTTTAAAAAGTATATCAAGCAATATAATTTAATTAATATTCAAAATTCAAAATTTTACTATTTTCTATATATTTTATAAATGTGTTTATAATCATTAATCAAATAAGAATATTTAAACAATGTAATTATTTATTAAATATATATCTATTGACATGTGCATTGGTAGAACTGATTAGGCTTTAGATGGGAACCTGAGCCTTTTTTTTAATATGTGAATGGATAGGTACTTTGTACCTAAAAAAGTAATAAGGTGTTTTATCCATAGAGATTGATAACAAAATAAATTAAAATTATAGACATTTACATGATTAAAAATAAACTGGTTGCCCATAGGTATAATTTTTATCTCATGTGACCATTACGGATATGAGGGGGGGGGGGGGTTAGATTGGATTTAGCCATGCCTGACTCAGAAGTCTGCACACGCCTATGAATATATCATAATTCATAATATATCGTAACACTCTTAATACATAAGAATAATTAATATTTTAAAATATTGTTTAAAAAAAAATGGTTCACTGCTTCACTGGCAATAATTTTGTTTTTTGATTTTATTTAGCATACATAGTTTGATTTTTTTCTATATTTCTTAAAAATTTATCATAAATTCATAAAATAGAAATAAAAATCATTTAAGTGGCGGTTATTTAATAGTTTTATGTTATATTACAAATAATTATCTTAAAAGTTATGACTGTTTTATAATGTAAATTATATTTTTTGTAGATACAATAAATTTAAGCTACTTGATATAGTTAAAAAGTCATTAAATTATTAGCCTGTACACTATAATACTGTAAATTACATTTATATATAGAAAGATCTGAGACATAGTTATTAAAACTAAATTTTTTTTTTGGTCTTAACATTTTTCAATATTACATTCTGAAATATTTTATTGCTGAAATATAAAGATAATATCCAATAATGACTTATTAAAATGCATCTTGGAACTTCAGGTATTAGTAAATTTATAACACTTCATGTTCAGAAATTCATTAAATTTAAACTAATTTCAAAATGTATACAATTAAAATCTAAAATGTTAGTAAAGTTTAATAACTAATTTTCAAGCACAGTAGTAATTTATTTGTTTCAATAATTATATTGTAGGTATATTTCTTAGAATGGGAAATATCCTGACTTTATTATAGTTTTAATCAAATATATTAATGAGTGTGCAGTCTCCAAAGTTATATTTGCAATATTGTACTGGTGTTTACTGTGTATATTTACTTGAATTTTTTATTAAGTGGTTTAACCATCAATGGTAATAATTGTAAAATACAATATTATTACTAATACATATTACTTGGAAATTTTAATAATCTTTGTATGACTATAGTATTATATTAATATATTGTGTTAGGTCTTAGATTACCTAAAGTTTTTTTTTTTTAAATAAAAATTGCGCGACTGATCTTGGTTGTGTCACGGACGTTACGAATGGCACGCAGTGCTTAACCTCTTTGGTAGCAGAGCAGCAGTCGTCACGCCATTGGCTGATACACGTCCATTGTTATCGACGGAAACCGTAGAAAACGAACTAACAGTCGTTAAGGTTACGTTTCTGTCATTCACTTCGATCCCGCGCCTCTTGTACGCCGCACATCGTTAAATTTTCGTTGTTTCGAAGTAGCATACAGTGTGGTGTGTGCACGACATTGTGCGACTACCGAATTTCTGTCCGCTGTCTGTGCCTGGTAAACCGAACCATCAGTGTGTACCCACGGTTTTTTATTTGACGATCAGCAATTCTTCTCAGACAGTTCTCTCGACACTCAGGTAAGAACACATTTTTTGCCCGGTTATTAGTTATAATATTAATTTCGATGACCATGTGCTTACGAACAATTCCCGATCTGTCAAATGATATGTCAACGTAAAACTGCCGAATTATAATTACGTAGCTGTTTCTGTATTTTCGATTAGTTTATAATATGGGCGTGAGATCGACGATTCTAAGCCGTTTTTTCGGCGTGACGCAGTGATAAGGTAATGAGAGGTTAGGCTGGCTGTTCGACCATCGACAATACTATGCCGGCCCACGATCAAACGAAGATTTCCCCTCCGTTTTCGAATTTCCCACTTAAATATTCGTGTTTTTCGTACTAAATTACGAAAATTCATCGCGTGATTACGAATTTTCCGTTAAACAACACCTATTATTGACTTAATTGAGGTTATCAATAAGACGTAGTATTTTCTATCTATTTTAACCTCCATCAATATCGTTTATTACGTTTTATATTGTTATTTATAAATTATAAATTTTAATAGTATTGTCGTTTAACGCATTGCGCATAATGTGTGAAAAATATTGAAATTCAATAGTTAACAAATATTATATTATCTAACTTTATGGTTTTTTATTTTATATACTATAATAGTTTAAAAATCGTTAAAGGAGATTGGATACTATTTTTTTATAGTTGAATATACTGGGCATAGTAGACTTTGAGTTATGATTCATTTAGTTGATCCATAATTATACTGCTTGTGACCTTGTTTAAATTAGTCATTAATATACTCCATTTAATCAACTGATATTTTAAACTTAATATTATTTTTAACAGAATGTCAGCAGAAAATGACAATGCTGATTCTTCATCCTCTGGTTCCGAAATGGAACAGGACACTCCACTAAGGCATAAATTTGGTTTTAAAGGAGAAGGAGATGACATAATGCTTGTAAGATCTTTGATTTTGTTTATTTTTAATTTAATTTTTGTTTTTATTAGTATTAATAATTAATATAATATTGTATTTTTACAAAAATTTTAATTACAGGAAGAAATTTTTTTTTATTTCCCTCCAAATCAACATATAGGTACATGTATCAGATATCTGATTGACTGTCATTTAATTTTGTCTAATCTTTTGTTCTCTGAGTCTGTTTAAATTATTTTGTAAATAAATTAAAGGGTACTTTTCTCTTATCCCTACTACCTCGCTAATGCCGCAACTACTGGACTACAGTTTGCTCGATTACTAGTTGCCGACAGTTGTATTATTTTAAAATAATCCATCATTGTATTTATTAATTTTAAAATAATTATGAATCTGTGGAATGTACCTATAATTTTGATGACTTTAGCGACTGTAACTGTGATAATTTATTTATATTTTTGTAATATCGTAATTTGACGTTTTGTGATAATTTTGATGATTTTATGTTTTATACTAAAACTCTCCACTACTGTGATAATTTACGTGATTACTCATAATAAACGTTATACTAATATACATTAAAATATAAATGGCAATTCATGGCGTGTATTATGTATTAAAATACGGAATATCTGGATAGTATTATAGTAGTCGAGATAACAGAATTAAGAGTCGCGGTAGTAGGAATAACAGAAAAGTACCAATTAAAATTAAAAATTTAAATCTAATTCAGAAATATTTTTTTAATAAATGCTTATTTATTTTCATTAAGTTTTATTTGATATATATATTACATATTTATTTATGCAATAAATACTAATATTGATACTTATTATTTAGTCTCTTCCACCGATAATCAAGAAACGTGTTAAGGCCTTGAAAAAGTTACTCGTAGAGCAGACTGATGTTGATACTAAATTCTATACTGAACTTCATATTCTTGAATGTAAATACCATAAAGAGTATTTGAAATATTATAATAAGGTAAAATACACGATAATAAATACTTAATATTTTAGTCTAATATACTATATTTAATATTTTAGCGAAGTGATATAGTTCAAGGAAACTATGAGCCTACTGAGGAAGAATGTGATTTTCCTTCAGATGAAGAAGACGATGTCAAAGATCTCTCTGTAGATATGGAAGGAAAAGTTAAACTTGAAGAATCTAAAGCGTATTTATATTCATTTATTGCAATTTCTAAGTTCTATAAAAAATTGTAAATAATTTTTTTACAGTAATGATGCTGTAGTAGACGGTACTAACGACCAATTCAAAGGCATTCCAGACTTTTGGCTAACTATTTTAAAGAATACAAGTCTCATCAGTGATATGATTCAAACCCATGATGAACCTATTCTTAGTCACTTGACAGATATCAAAGTTTATCTGTTAGAAGAACCTATGGTATATTTTTTTGGCACTTCTAATTTTATATGTTTATTTATTTATTTTTATTATTATTTTAGGGTTTTGCTTTGGAATTTCATTTTTCTCCTAATGAATGGTTTACCAATACTGTATTAACCAAGGAATATGAAATGAAATGTATACCTGATAAGAACAATCCATTAAGTTTTGAAGGACCTGAAATTTTCAAGTGTAAAGTATGTATTTATATTTAAACTATTAAGAAAATTTTTGATTGTACTAACGATATAAATATAGGGTTGTACTATTCAATGGAATAAAGGAAAGAATGTAACGGTGAAAGTAGTTAAAAAGAAACAAAAACATAAGGTAAAGGGTGCTGTTCGCTTTGTCAACAAGACTGTACAAAATGTATCTTTCTTTCATTTCTTCAGTCCTCCTACTGGTGAGTTAATACTTAAAAAAATTAAAGTAGACAATACAGTTAGGATACATAAATATTAATTAAAATTTGTTTATGTATGATATTTTGTTTCAATAACCAATGTTTTTTTATTAATAAAAGCATTTAAAATTGATTTTGACAAATTATTTAATATGAGTTATTTGTCCTTTCTTAATGCTGATATAAACTGGCTTCAACAACTACCACTTTGACGAATAATGTAATTGTGGCTTTAATTGAGCCTACATATAAAATAAAAGTTGATTGAATTATGGAAATTAACATTTTTTGTAATTTATAATTTTTGGCCAGCATTGCTTCCTCTGGGATAGGTGATCACCCGAATTTTTAGTAGTGACAAATTCATGGTGCACACATGTGCTCCAACCTTACAAACAAACCCTACAAAAAAAAAAATCTACTGTTCTTATCCACAGCTAATGGCCCTAGTTACTAGCTTAAAATAAGATAACTAAAAAAAAAGTTGTAATTACATTATTATATTATTTTAGTGCCAGATGATCCAGAAACTGAAGTTGATGAAGAAATTGATAATTTGTTAACAACAGATTTTGAAATTGGCCATTACATTCGCGAAAGGATTATTCCTAGAGCTGTTCTGTATTATACAGGTATGAATCGATATATTATTTTTCTTAATATTTATAAATTTCTGATTTTTAATCATATTATGATAGGTGAAGCATTATTGGATGAAAATGATTTTGATGAAGATGATGACGAGGAAGAGTCTGAAAATGATGATGAAGATGAAGATGAAGATGAAGATGAAGGAACTAGTAATGATCCTGAATATAATCCACGTCAAGATAAACTGATAAATAAACAAGTCAACCCAGCTGAATGTAAACAACAGTAAATTGTTGTAATAGTTTTTAAATCAACCTCATGTGTAATCACTACTTGTTTTACAAATAAATAATTTAAAAAAATCTTCACTCTTAATAAGTTCACATTTTTGAGATTAAGCCTTAATTCATTGCTATGTTGAACATGAAATATTACTTGTATTTTATACATTTCTCTAACTTTATACACAAATAAAATTATTTTTATATTACATATAATATATATATATATTTTTTAATTCTTGAAGTTTGTATTCGTAGAATAAAGATTATGATGGGTATTTGGTTATTTAATGGCTAATATATATATTTTGTGTGTGTGTATTATATTTTTGGACTAATTTTTAGGGTATATGCAATTGAAAATATATTAAACAATTAATATATTTTTAGATTCTATATTGAGTGATAAATTAATTTATTTTACAATAACTCTTGTTTTTACTTAATTTTAAATAGATAATACGATATAATTTTTGACTTCTGAAAATTTTCTAATAGGAACTGTATTTTGAATTGAGGAAAAATGAGAATCTCGGCTAATTTAAAAAAAAAAGGATATTTTATTTGTCATTGAACAGAATAACAATAACAACAAAGATAAAATAGTTTCGAGTTCTTTTCTATAAGTGTTTTATGAATATAAATTATTAATATAATTCTGAATACTTATGAGGTATTAATAGAAATTATAAATTCAAATTTAGATAATTAAATATTTTACTTGTCATTTTGTTGCAATTTAAAATATTTCTGGAGGACTGTTCAACTTCTTTCAGTAAGTATAAATTTAATAATTTTATTATTACTTTATGCTGTGCCATTTTTTAAATATTTAGATTAAATTTATCTTATTGCCTATTTAAATCATTAATCTTTTCACACTTCTTTGGTAAATTTGTATTGACTCATTAAATATTTAATGCAAATTATTTCAATGATTAACAATGTAATGTTTTTGCAAAAAATCAACCTGCTGTATTTCTATTAGTAGATTTGAACTGATTATTTGGTGAAACTGAGAGTCGCTTAAATTCTTCTATAACTTTAAAAGTTTATATATCGACTTAATTGAAACGCATCTACTGCAAATATCAAAGACTTCGATAATTTCGGCTCTTCCTTGCATGCAAACCATATCCTGTATTTTACAGGTTATTAGATGCATATTTATACAACGTTAGGCTTTCAAATTGCCCTTTATGAGGTTTTATACTTTGTTCATCACACGATTTCAGAGTTTAGCAGGTATATCTTATGAGTTACCCGAATGTTCTATGAAATTAATGTCTTAACGATTATCAATTCTTATTAGTAAAACAGTTAACGATAACTGCATTACCCCATTCATCGCGTCTTCAATCTACTTATTATAGGTTTAGGTAAAGAACTAAAGAATAATAGGTAACCAAAGACCAAAGTTAAAAATAAAAAGTCAAATGTTTTGTTAACTTCAGATTGATGTCTGATATAGTGCGACCAGCAAAACTAGAAGCTTGACCGTCACGCTCCTGGTGGCTGTTTTTTATTAGAACTACGAAAGATGGTTTACCGCGTAAAATAATTTTAAACACTTATATACTTGTTATACAGATCTGTTTCACAGCTATTCAACGGTTCCGTATAATACGCACGGGTATCGTATACATGAAATGGGCATTTAATATTAAGACATAACATTTTATATTTCTATAGTACACATGTTTTACTAACTTATTATCACATTATCAAACATAAAATAATAACAGCAACATTTAAAATATTTACAATTGTTTTTGAATTTTAATAAATTACGTCGTCATCGTCGCTCGAACTTCTGTCATCTGGATAAATTGTTCATAATATCGGCTCTAATATTTCGTCCCTCAGTCCTGCTTTATGGAAATCTTCCTCCTGAATTTTCACACAATGTTCACCACATTTGGCCCAATCATCAGCAGTTATCGCGTCAATTTCTTTATGGACAAGTGCCTCAAAGTCAGCAATTTTAAATGTGGAATTTTTTTCAGCCACTCCCTTTGAATTGTGCACAAATTAACTCTATAGGATTATACTACCAGTGGTAAGGTGGAAGTCTTACCACTTCATGTCCCATTTGGTGTGTCAATTGATCCAACTTATAAATTTTTCCACGCGGCATCGCAAGTTTGAATTTCGCCCGTAGTTCATCAAGTGTTTCTACGGGAGAAAACTCTATATTTTTTTCGCGCAACCATTGCTGAACATCCGCCTTCCTACTACTTGATTTTGGGTAGTCCTCAAGTAATGCAGAATGATAAGATACGTTGTCCGTAACAATAATACTGGGCTCTTCCAAGTTCATTAGCATTTTCAAAAATTGAAGCATTTATTTGTGAATGATAATCTTTGGTATTGCCAGAGTTACAGCGAAAAATTAATTTTGCATCTTTGACAAAACCAAAGGAAGGAGACAAAGCATGATAAATTATAAGCCAACTGCCTCTCCCAAGTACTTTAAAGCCCTCTGTATTTTCGTGGTTTTGTCAAATATGTCCCCGAGTATGATTTTGGTTAACACAAGTCATGTCTAAATAGACTATTGGTCGAGTATTACCATTTGTACGAAATTCGTTCATTTTACGTAAAAATGTTACGCGCGCAGCTACTATGTCCGATCGCTCCATGAGAAACTTACGACCGTCATTACATCTTTTATATTTAAAATTAAGTTTTTTCAAAATTATTTTTACTGATGATTTTGACCCCCGGTAATCAAATTTTTCTCGCAATGCCGCTTAAATATATGCACTAGTGGGAAATTCTCTCTTGTCATAAAAACTATGGACCCTTCTGACCACTTCGCTGACGAAATCGTCAAGATCGATGACAGGTTTTTCACGACTATAACGTTTTCTAGGGGATCGAAATTTAATATCTGTAGAACTTCCGACACCAATCTCTTTTTCAACACCAATAGATATAGTTTTGTATTCCGTACAAATCCTGTACAGTAGACAGTAGACCGACTCACCACACAAGCATCTGCCGTCCTTCCTTGACATCGTCGGAAAAAATTTGCCACTTCCGGCTGTTCTTCTTTACTAGCTAACATTTTAAAATAATTATACACATTGTATATGGTTTTTTTGGTTTGTGAATGAATATCTGGCCGGATCGACATTTTAATTAAACAATATACCCAAAAAAATAGAGAAAAACCGCAAAAACAAAAATGTACAAATAAACAATATGTAACAGCTATATATAAGAAATTCGTAACAAACTCAGTTCAAATTATAACAATCAGCATACACGAAGCAAAGATGTCTAGTGTCTAACATACAGATTATATAGAAGATGGTTTAATGGTTAGATTTGTATTAAATTTTACAGGTATTGACATGCGACAGTCACACGGGCGCATGTAAACTCCACCGATTGCGACCTTTTTAGACCTTTTTTCATGTAAACTCCACCGGTACGTTTTTTTACCTGAAAAAAAAAATGTAAACTCCACCGGTACGTTTTTTTTACCTGAAAAAAAAATGTAAACTCCACTGGTATGTTTTTTTTTAAAATTGTAATCCAAATCCAATCTGATTAATTAAGTTTACATAATTTATGTGGGTGCAGATTTATTATATTTTTATTAAATATATAATTATTAATAATAATTAACAATAATTAAAAAAAAAAAAATCATAAAAATCAAATAAAAATTTATTATTTATATATATTATATTTAGATACTTATATCTTTTTTTACACAATATTAAAATAAATGATATAATAATAAATAATAGTGATCACTAGTTCGATGTTAAAATAATGTTAATTAAAATAAATGAATAAAAAATAATTAATCAAAGAAAATTTAGGTTTTAAAAAAATTTGTTTGGTTTTAAAATTAGGTTTTAAAATTTGGTTTGATAATGTTTAGATGCAGCTTTGACGAATTGTATACTGGTAATATTGTTTGCCTTAAATGACGAAAAGATACGTATCGGTGGAGTTTACATTTTTTTTTCAGGTAAAAAAAATGTATCGGTGGAATTTACATGTTATAAATCCAACCCTAAAATCAACTACCTGTAAATCGGTGGAGTTTACAATCGCCCGGTCACACTATAACTGGCTATTTCCTATTATACGTTATACGCTACCTATTGTACATTTTCGGAGGGTATTCAAAATTGTCTATAAAACAGCTATAAGAGCCTTAACGCTTGCCTGCATCTTTAGATAAAAATTTAAAACTAACCTAACATACTCACTGTAATAAAAAATATTCATTTCGAAAATAGATCGCGCGGCTGCATAAACAACCAAAATATTTAGAGTCGCTGATTTTCACGAAAACGGCTACTATAATAAAAATAGGTGCTTGTCGCTTGACGGTCAAGCTTTTATAATAGTCTCGCTGACCGCACTATACTAGTTTTAAACTATATAATAATATTTAATAGATTTAACACGTTTATTAAATACGCTTATAAATAATTGTTAATAGTAAAAAAAGATAATAAACAATAATATTTATCACTAACAACTGTTTTCTTTATCTATACACATTATAAATGACACAATAAATTACCAAATTAAAAAAAATTAACAATGAAAAGTTAAGACTTACAACCAATAGCTTAAAATTGTTACTTTTGAAATTACTTTTAGAAAACGTGCATTATTATCAAAATGGATACATCATTTCTGCCAGAATATTTGGAATTACTGGTAAAAAATTGGCTTTCATGGAATCAGGTATAAACTTTATTGTTAGAACAGTTTTTCCGTGGAACAAATTGCATTTTGTTTTTATATAGCCGTGTTTTTCAGTCAAAACAATATGCTGTAGAACTAGCAGAAATACTGGTACAAAAAAATGTGGATAAAATAAAAGATATGTTTGATGGTCGCCTGTCATTTGGAACAGCGGGTCTGAGAGCAGAGATGAGTCCTGGTTTCAAACGAATGAATGATCTGGTAGTCGTACAATCTGCTCAAGGGCTTTTGTATTACATGTTTAGTGTCTTTGGGGATTCATTAAAAACATCTGGTATTATTATTGGATATGATGGAAGATACAATAGTAGAAGGTTGTGGAACTTAATTGTGTTTTTTGTTAATGAGAATTTTATTAATTGTTGTAATTCATTTTAGATTTGCAGAATTGACATCAAAAGTTTTCTTAAAACATTCTGTCAAAGTATATCTTATGAATGAAGTTTGCCCAACTCCATTTGTAGCTTTTGGGATTAAGTTATATAAATGTTGTGGTGGAGTAATGGTGACTGCGTCACACAATCCTAAAAATGATAACGGTTATAAAGTATTCTGGAAAAATGGCGCTCAAGTAAGTTTTAAAGAATATTATTGTTTTCACTAATCACTTTATAACTTAAATAAATGTTCAAATATATTTCCAGATCATTTCTCCAATTGATAAAAATATTGAAAAAAGCATAACTGAACATTTAGAGCCTGAAGATATCTGGAATACTGAAGATATTTATAATAATAAGTTGTTAATAAATCCATTAATCGATCTGCTGAAACATTACAATAATTATATTGACAAAATGTTGTTTCCCAATTTAGATAAAAAGAAAACAGATATAATTTTTACGTATACACCTATGCATGGTGTAGGTTATCCTTACATAAAAGATGTATTTGAAAATGCAAAATTTAATGTGAGTTTATATGGAAATTACTAAAATTGTATTCAATGCATTTATCATGAATATAATATTTTTATAAATAAGTTTATGTTGTAGTTATTAAAATATTTGAATCACACTATTTAGCCAGTTGTAGTTGTTGAGGAACAAAAAGATCCGAACCCAGAATTTCCAACTGTTCCATTCCCAAACCCAGAAGAAGGAAGTGCATTAAAATTAGCAATGGAAACAGCTAATAACAACCATAGTCGTATTATACTCGCTAATGATCCTGATGCTGACAGATTGGCTGTGGCTGAACGTCGGTAACATATGAAAATATAATTATTTTAAAATATTTTTAGTTAAAATGTATGATAAAGCTAATTTTATTTTTAGGATGAAAAAGAAGGGCTGGAAAATATTTACTGGAAACGAAGTTGGTGCTTTGTTAGGGTGGTGGTTAATACATTCTTACAAAACATTACACGGTAAAACACATCCTAAATTGGTTATAATGTCAAGCACAGTATCATCTGCAATACTTAAATCTATGGCTGAAATTGAAGGAATCAGATTTGAAGTAAGTAATTCCTTTAAATTACAAGCTGAAATTAATATATTTAGTTTATCTTTAATCATGTTCTAAACAAATTATATTAAAATTAACTCCAAGGAAACACTCACTGGGTTCAAGTGGATGGGTAATAGAGCTGAACAGCTTTCTGCTGAAGGATATACTGTAATTTATGCATTCGAAGAGTCTATCGGTTACATGTGCAGCAGTGAGGTTTTGGATAAAGATGGAATATCTGCTGCTGTTAAAATTTCAGAATTAGCTATATATTTAGAAAGCATAAATAATACATTATCTTCAGCTTTAAAATTTGTATATGAACTGTAAGTTTATTTAAAATGTAATATTTAATTTGTAAATAAAATTTTTTATTTTTCTTAGATATGGTTGGCATTTATCTATAAACTCATATTTTATGTGCTACGATAGCTTGATGATAAAGAAAATATTTGAATCTATTAGACAAAATAATAATCAGCCAAACAATGTAACTGTTAATTTTATGTTACTCTTAACACATTAACCGCCATATGACCGCCAGTAGTCATCTGTAATTCTCAAATTTTATAAATTTGTGACCGCCAGCGCCAACAAATCATCATTACTACCATGCCACATTAACGCCAGCGACCATAAATGAATTCAGTTTTATATTATTAACTTTTCTATGGTGCTACAATAATGTACCTATAATATATAACTTTTCAATTTTTTTTAAATATTAGTATATACAAATTTGAATAACATTGAAAAATATGTTTGGCGTATAACAAATATCTGTTGTATGACTGCTGGTGGTTAACGTGTTAACATGATGAAAGTTTTGATTTCTTTTTTAATTTTTACAGTATCCAAAATCCATTCTTGGAGGACAATATTCAATCAAATCGGTCCGAGACCTGACAACTGGATATGATTCAAGTACAATAGATCATAAGCCTGTATTGCCTGTATCAACATCGTCTCAAATGATAACATTTCATTTTGATAATGGTTTAATCGCTACATTACGAACAAGTGGAACTGAACCCAAAATAAAATATTATGCTGAATTATGCAGTGGTCCTGAAAATTCTTCGTAAGTCTTATTTAATGTATATTTTTATAATTTAACTAATAATGTTATTATAATTTAATTTATTTTTAGTGATCTTAAAAAATTGAAAAGTATCTTGAAAGAAATGGTTAAAGGAATAATTGAAGAATTTTTAAAACCAGAAGAAAATTTTCTAATTTCTTGCGATAAGTAGTTGAAGATAAATAGACAACTCAGATTATTTTGTATATTGATTAATATATTATTGTTATTTAATTTATTCTTACTATCCAATTTTCAAATAGTTTAAAAATGTAAAAGGTTGTTATAACCTTAATTTTTAAATTAATACTGATAGTTTAATAATTATTGCATGATGTGTAGTCATACTTAAATCATTCCAATAAAAATATAATAATGCATTCTTTCAATTATTTATTGTTAATAAACATATGTATTGATATAAAAATGCATTTGAATTTACAACTTTTATAAATTAACGACAACTTGCCATAACACCCAAAATATTTTCATAATCAATCTTTTCAGTAATATTTTTGGTTTTGATATTTTCGTCTTGATTAGCTACAAACACATATTTATTATCCAGTTCCTTCCAATTATATTTTAGTATCCAATGTTTTAAAGCAGCATCTGTTGAAAAGTATGATTATTAATTAGTATACTAAATTAAATTTTAATATAATTGATTATTACACACCGTCAATCCCTCCCAGTAATTCCATAAGAAAATGTTTTTCAATAGACTGAAATGTTATACCAATTACATGGCACACAAACTTGCGCACAGAATCTAAAAAGCCATTGACTTTAGCATACAGTTCAGGCATGGTATGAACATTATACCAAAATTCTTTGAAGTTGCAGTTTTCCAATAGATCAGCCAAGAATAATACTTGACTTAATGGAGCTTCTTGACACTAAATTATTTAAAAACTCAGTAAATAAATCTTTAAAACAATTGGATGGCTAGTATATAAAAACAAAAATTTTTTTTATATAAACATATTTTTAACAAAGGTGTCATAAATTATTACTTAGTAATTAGTACTATAAAAAGTTTAAAAAGAACATATAGTTTTTACTTTTTCTTAAAGCTTAAAATGTTAATTGAATGATCAATATTAAGTCTATTATATTTTATTGTAGTCTACTTAATTCACATTCAGAAGTGATCTAGGTCGCCACTTTCCACACAAGGGCATTGTTCTGTAGTTATATTACTGGTAATTGATTAAGCAAAGAAAATATTTATGTGAGTGACTAGTGAGCCTCCTACAAAAACTGGTCATCGCCCCCCAAGTTGCTTCTAAATGTGAATGGAATACATAAGTTTTGAGTAGACCTTTGATAGCAATCAAAAATGTATTTATTTATTAAATTATTTTTTGCATACAATTGCAGTTGGAGGGAACTGTATGTCCTGACAACACCAGTTTTTAGTCATCAATCAATGCATTCTTAAACTGATTATAGATTGTAGTATTCTATTTAGAAATTAGTGATAATTGTTTATTAATAACAAAAAATTAATAAAATTTGAATGATTTGATCAACCTTAAAATCTAAAAGCATTCTACACACTTTAAATCAATATACCTAGGAAAATAAAAATATAAATCTAATAAAAATATTTCTTACCAATTTTTCATTCAACAGACATTTGCAAAGCACGAAATCAGAATGAGGAAAGTTGGTGATCGCCTTCAACATGATCTGCACGGTGATATCCAAATTATAATCGTGATGAAATTGATATATTTTGAGAACAGCAAGGTTCGCTTCTAGATCGTACGTGTTCTCTTGAGACTGTACTTCCACGTAGTGTTCAAGGGTAGACAAATGCTGGGGATTGTATCTGAAAGTGGATAATTAAACGCACATGCAATTTACCGACGAAATCGAAAAGATGCGAATTCAACCAACAATGCGCTCAAATAACATAACATACCTTTCAATGCCCTGCAAAAGCGACGCTACTGTTTGTCTCATTGCTTCGGCCATAGTTAGTTCAGTTGAAAGCAAATAAAATATTAACGTCAACACTTAATGCACAAAAGCTCAATAAAACTATCAAACGGATGGCTGGCTTGAGGGTAATGGAGATTGTAAGAAGAGGTAAGTCGCGTGTGATCGTATGACTTTAGGTGTGTGATTATAATTTTACGATTATTGTTTATTAACATTTAACAAAAAGTTCGATAAGCAAATAAGTAGTCAATGCGGCACGCACAACCATGAATCGGGGTAGACAACACATACGTTAAAATATGGTATTACTTGAAGTCATATGCTAGCGAGCAGCACTGTTGCATTTTGTTCTCCCTTCTTTCTTTCGTTAATCACTAAATTTATAATCAGTAGTTTTATCACTATCAGATAACACAGTATCAGCAAATAACATTGCAATCAAATTAAAAAAGTTATTTAAAAATATAATCAACAATTTGAAGTTTTGAAATATTTTTATTAAATTATTCATAACAAAATTTCCAGTGCTTATATCTTCGCATTTTTTTTAAATTTTAATACTGTTTTCGAGTGGTAAGTATTACCATTAATTATAAATAGGTAGGTACAATAATAGGACATAATCATTGGTATTACCGTCAAATTCCAAAAATTGTTCATTACAATTTTGTTAATAAACTTCGGCCTTGGTTTTGAAATACTGTGTGTATTTTTTATTTTGATACGAAATTATCAAAATCGTTTTTATAAAATTATATTACGTATAAGAAATTTACCTATGTTTATATTTAACAAATAACAATCTATAAACAGTGTATGATATTTGGATGTTTGTTTACTAATAATTGTTAATTATTATTTTATTATTTTCTTTAATTAAATGTATGTATAGACTATAGATGTATTTTTTTGTTTTAACCCTGTGATTCATGATCTTCTATTGTAAGGTAATAAGACCTTGATTTAACCCTTTTATATTTTTAACACATACTCCAATCACCTAATTGCCTGCCAAATATAAGACAATTTTTAATTATAGTTGAATTATTAATTATTTTATACCAAATAGAAAAAAAATAAACCAACCAATGTATAAAATTATAATTTTATTTATACAAGAACGTCATATAACAAAGTGTATTATTATAGTGGACAAACCGCAGATGCTAGGATAGCTGCACCTCTTCCACTTCCATCTTCAGAAAGCATAATACCAAATTTTATACCACTATTAACTAGCTCATTAATCTTGTCTACTAGCAACTGATAATAAAATGGATGATATCTGTATACTGATCCATCCACTCCAATTATCACATCTTTTTCATTCATTCTGTTCAATATGACTGTTAGTCCAGCAGCAACTAAATATGCAGATCTTCTCGAAATACACTCTGCTGCATATCTAATATTCATGCAGTCACCATCTGTAGGATTGACCACACCAATTCCTTGAAGGAATTTTCTAGTAGCTGTATAAGTTCCAGGTGGATCATTCTCAATTAGGGATATCACATCACTAGTTAATGATTGAGGAACATTAAGTATTGATGGTTTTATGCCATCAAATATTAATTCGTTTTCAATCATTTCTACTAATACTAATCTTAACAATTCTCCCAGGTAGCGTCCAGATATCATTTTTTCAAAAATTTGTTGGCCACGATTTTCAGAAATTTCATCAACAGATTTATCATATTTAGTATGAAAATCTTCAAGTTCGTTATTATCTCCAAATGCACCCCACTCAAGATTAATAATCATTTCATCTTTTGTTTGGTCCCCATTATACAGCTGGATATTTTTTACCTAAAAATATAAATTTTATTATATTTAGTTGTTAAAAATATAAATACCTTAGTTTTTTAAGTTTACTTTTTCTAAGTAACAACAGTTACAGCCTGTACCAATAATCAAGCCTATTCTAGTTTTTGGATTTAACCAAGCACAGGACATTAAAGTGCCAACAGTGTCATTTAAAATTGCACAAATGTTAATTTTTAAGTCTGGAATATTGTTTATTGAATTTGTCAACAGCTGTACTACATCTTGGCCAACTACGCCTTCACATGTAAAACCTTTTGTCCATCTTACAAGTTTTCCTTGATTAATGTTTGACTGTGACATTGGAAAACTAAATGTAAAACCCAAAGGCAATTTGGTATTGTCCTTTAATCCTTCTGTATTTACAAATTCATTCAAACAATTGGCTATGTAATCAAACAATATTGTTCCCGATCCATTAATTAACTCTTTAGAACATTCATATACCTTTTGATTCATTTTAAAGTATTTATTTTCTCCTAATTCTAGATTGAGTACACGGAAATTTGAACCACCCAAATCTAGAGCTAAGTATTTTCCACATTCATTACCAGTAGGCATGTCTTGCACATATGTTTGCCAACATTTGATTGTTGCTTTTGAATGTTTTTCTTTATCAAGACCATCGTCAATGCAGGAACTTATTCGGTTCATAAATTCTCGTAGTTTGTTATTTGGCAATACAAAGTTTCTGCATAAACGTCTGACTCTAACATGATTTCTCCATGTTTTTAAGTTATTCAAATGTCCTTTACAACTTTGTCTTATGTCTGACATTTTTATGAAATGTTATTTTCTCTGAATAAAATAATGATATTCTAAACAATATTTGCAGCAGTTTTCATGAATTATATTTTGTATGTTTATTTTATATTACAGAGGTACTTTGTTTATATTTAAACTATTTATATTAGCCAACAATTAATTTTATAAAAAATAAAATTATATAATGTTTTTTAATCTTTAGTTATTAGTCTATTATATGGGTACTTATTTTCTTTAAATCGTTATGATTTTTTGATTTTTATATTACTAAAAATTTAAGATTGAATGAATAATAATCTAAAACTATTAAGTTTAATATTACTAAATTAGGTACCCTTGTAGTATGCTACATACCATAAAATAACATCTTCTAAAAACATTGTATTCTACCCACTAATTAATTATAACTTATTAAACTAAAACAATTAATGTTTATTGCTGATGATTATTATTGTCAAGTATTTTAAAATTGCACCTAAAATTATGTTAATTGTTAGTTATTTATTACTAATACATTTTATATTTTTTTATGTTTATTAGTAATCAACAATGGCAGATTTCAAAATGTCATCAAGTATATTGACAAAAGAGTGTTTAAGAACACAAATTTGTGGTAAACATTTTTTTATTTTAGCCTTTTTTTGTATATTCTATTCATTATTTTACAGGTGAAGGCGAGTGGCCAAAAAACACAGTATTATACCAGCCTTATGAAACAGAACAAATCCTATTACCTGACAACTCAAAATGTTTATCGGTTAAAACATTTTTAAAAATGGCTGGATTGGAATTCATTGTCGAAGCAAGAGAAAATGCCGAATATATGTCACCACATCGAGGTAAAGTGCCTTTTATTAAAGCAGGCCAGTTTTTAGTTGCTGACTTTGAACCAATCGTCAATTTTGCACAATCTAAAGTAAGATTAGACATTATTTAAAGTATTCAATTAAATTAAATGTTGATACATTTATATTTAGGGCTATTCTCTATCTACACATTTAGATGAAGCTCAAAAGTGGGACCTTAGAGTATACATGGCACTAGTAAATAATGTTCTTTTAAATGCTGAGGTTTGTTTACATCATATTATTTTTGAAACAATTAGATAATTTTAATTATATTTAGATTTATGTAGCATGGAATCATGAACTTACTTATAAAGAACTCACTAAGCCAAGGTATAGCTCAGTTTATCCTTTTCCATTGAACCACTGGGCTACATATTATAAGCGCCGTGAAATTTTATCACATTTAGATGTATTAGGTTGGAAAAAAAAATCTTTGGATGAAGTATTTAAAGAAGTCGAAAGAATCTGTGAATCATTGTCAAAGTTTTTGGCTGACAAGAAATATTTTTTTGGTGAAAAGTATGCTATTAATTATTTATATATGAACTATTTATTTTATTGATGACATTTTTTTTAGGCCAACTGATTTAGATGCTTTAGTATTTGGTCATTTATTTTCTATCATAACAACACCATTATTAAACAATCGTTTTGCTGCAACTGTCAGAGCTTATGATAATTTAGTTCAATTATGTGTACGAATCGAAACAGAATTTTATCAGTCTAGAATTTTATGATATAAATAATTATTTTATTTGATTGAATATTAGTTAGTATTAAATACTAATAATGTTTTAATAGTTTTACAATCATTATTTAACTATACTAAAATGAGAAAAATGAAGTACTAATTACACTGTTATATAGAAATATTTAATGTGATTTAATTATGTTAAGAAGTGTGAATACAATTAATTATAAAACATATTAAGTTTGTTGTTACTATTTAAAAAAAATAAAATTATCTTTTTATAACTATACTTAGGATAGATTTATACTAGGAATAAAATACAAATATATTCAACTTCAAAGCATGTCATACATTTTATTTTATTAAGAACAGGTATAATTAATGTTATTTAACAATAATACAACAAACAGTAAAGCAAAAAATAAAATACAATAAAATTATGAAGAACAATTAATTGAAGTAATAATACCCAATCTTAAATATAGACAAGATTTTTCATAACAAATAACTCACATAACGTTTTCATATAATACTGAAAACTTAACCAAATACTGAAACAAAGTAATTTATGAAAAATAAAATATTCTCAAAAAGCAACATAAATACCATCGTTTTTAATATATCATGAATGAAAATTAACTGAAATTAAATTTATTATTATTAATTCTTATAAATAATAGGGTGTTTAACATTGTGATGTGTATAGTTAAACATAAAAAAGTTACATATTTTTCAAATATATTATAATATATAAAACATTTATTGTTAATATTACCTGTACTATAATATTTTTATATTGTAGTTTTAACTATAATGTTACCTAGAACTTGGTTTAATTGAAATAAAAATGTGTTATAAACAATTTTTATCAACTTAATATATTTTAAATACTTACAAATTATACAGGGAAGACAATTAAAATATTGAATGCTGTTAACAATCGCAACTAAAACTTATTTTAATTTTAATTATTCAATATAATATGTTATAAAAAAATACTGTACAATATGATGTTTATATGTTAAATAACAGACAGTAGTTAATCAAGGATAAAAGAAATATTGCAATTTGTGATTTATGTATAAATAAATTAATCAATCCTTTAAAATTTAAATATTTGGTTACTAAATATGTATTGTGATGTATATTATCAACAGTTTTCTTAAAGTGATAGTTTAAAAAATAAATAATTTTATGAAATGAAGAACCTTACATTTATAATTATTCACTTGACTATTTTTTTTATGTTAAATAAATAAACTTGAAAAAAGTTAAATTTTCCATTTAAAAGTAGAAAATTTTTAAGTGAATTCCAATTTTCAATGAATAATGACATAATAAGTTACTTATAGCAGAAATATTGTTTATGTAGTTTACTCATAATATCTACATCACAGAAAATATTTTTGTTTGCATCTTGTGATATTTTTAATTGTAGTTTATTATTATTATTATAGCTGATCAAATAACTGTAACAATTATTTTTGATAAAATACATAAGTTATTAAACATAAGAACAATTTCTGTAATACACCAACTTTATAATTACTTATAATTTACTTTTTAGGAATATTTCATAGCAAGTATTTTAAAGGTTTGATAAAACTTATTTAAAAGACAATTTAGAAAAAATTTAAAAGTAGGTTAATACTATTTAAAAATGAATTTTAAGAGGTCTCATGTCTGTACTATTTTTAGTTACTGCATAATTACAAAACTATATAAAAATCAATTTTAAACACAAACATTTTTCAAATCGTTATTTTAGTATTAAGTTTATAAATGTTGCAAGAACTGACATTATAATCGATAAATTATTTAATATAATACTTAAGAGTCAACTATTAGAAATAACTTTCATTAGATTATGAAACCTAAACATATTAATGATAAAGATATGCGTTCCCTTTTACCTATAAAAATAATCTAAACCAAAGCTTAGTTTAAATACCATTTACTTTTAAATTAATGTTAATATTAATTATTTTACATTTATTTATCAGTACAGATCAATGATTACAATATATTATAAACAACTATCATTATTATTTTAATGGTAAAAATTGTTATTAAATTACATAGAATATAAAAAATTACTAGATTTTAATAACCTATAACTATTGTCATGAAATAAAACATTTAAAAATATTTAATAAATTTTTTTAAATAATGTAATGATAAATGTTTCACAAATATTGGTTAACAAAACAATTGGGACGTTCAGTTAAATATTAATCGCAAGGACTAGGTTTAAAATTTCATCATACAAATATATATATGTATTTAAAATTAAGTATTATTGTTAAAAAAAAAAAACAAGTTAAAACATAACAATGATACACCAAACAATATACAATAAATAAAATATTGAGTGCAATATTGTCATTGAAGAACAAAATAATTTCAATATCTTCAAGGGTAAGTATAAGGAATCAAATTGTTTAAATTGTTTGCATTATAAAATAAAAACTAAAAAAATATAGAAAGTCTAGATTGTAAGAATGGGTTTAAGAGGGGGTGATTTTTTTGAATACAATAATTTTGCTTAGATCATAATTCTAATAAGATATAAGTAAAATAATCTGCAAGGTTTATAGCTTTAAATTGGTTTGATTTTCTGTTCATTGAGTTTACTATCCACATGCATAATAGTAATATAAACAATTACATAATATGTTGATACACAGGAGTGATTCAATTCTCACCTGTTTTTTCCTTTTAATGAGCAATTTATTTATTTATTATTATTTCTTTTTTTTTGAGTTATTGAGTATGCTTAAAAATCAGTTTTTTTATATATCTTTTAAGGAATGTCCAGTGGCGATACAAATTATTTATTTCTAGATGAGAATTACCATTATTTCCTATAAATTATAATGCAGACATTTCTGAACATTTTAATTTGTCTAAATAAAAATTTGCACAAGCGGTTTTCGTATAATTTAATTGTTTTTTTTTTTCCGAGGAAGAAAGATACAGAGACCATAATGATTTGAAAATTATAGTAATTATTAATGATTTAATAATATTTTATAATTTGTAAAATTGTGTAAGTATAATAATTACTAGATCCAATTTTATATTTTTGTAAAACAATTTTTAGGGACTATTATCCTTTGTACATACATATTGATAACCTAAAATGACAAAAACTACTTAAGATTTTGATTTAGATATATCAACATATAAAAGAAAAAAAAATCTGCCTTTATACAAATTTACACCAAAAAAATGTTAGTACTCAATAGAAAAAATTATGTTTGTACAACCATAGGACACTCTTTAAATTATATAAAAAATCTTAAATAATTCAAAATATTGGGTATAATTATAAAATTATTTAAAAATTACAAGTCATAATTTAAAACAATTTCTTTATCGAAAGGAAATATGGTGGTAAGTATGTATAATGCTTGGCATATAATACAAAATATTATTGACTACTCGTCTATTTATCATACCTATACATTTTTATTCTTATATTATTAGATTTGGATATATAGTGAAATTAGCCAAATTATTGAATCTTAAATCTCCCCTCTTCATCTCTCCAAAAAAATGAGAGTAATAAAATTCCCTTGAAAACTAGTTTGGGGATTAAAAAATTACAGATTAATTATCAAACTGTAATATGCTACTTGACTAGTTCCTATTAACTTAAGATACTATTAATAAATTATAAATTATTTTCAAACATTAAAAAAATATATTTATGATCAAGACTATTTTTCAAGTATAATTATAACAGAAAGAAATAAGTAATAAACAATAAATAGAAAGATAAAAATTATTTAACAAAAAAGGTTTTAAAGAAAAAAAAAATGTCAAAATGAAGAGATATTGTATACAATTACATTCGGTTAAAGAATAATATGTAGGACAATGTAAAAATATTTATAAATACAAATTATAAAATGGTTATTTCATTATCACAGGTTACTAAATCCTTACAAACATATAATCCATCCATTAACTAAGGATCACATTAAGATTGCTCATAAGTTGTAAGCATAACTTGAACAGTTATGTCACTTTTTTTTCAGTATAGTAAATTCAAAATATTGTGCAAACCCTGTAATATTAATATTAATTTGGGATGTGGAATGATTAAAATTATTTTTTGTAATTATGCACATTACCTATATTTAAAGGTGTAATTATTTAACTATTAGACAAAGAAGTATTTACAATTAATTATTTTTGAATACTAAAAGTCAATTATTTATCAATACATTTTGTCAGAGCTTAGGTAGAATTTATCAAAAGTAGTTTCTTAGTTATGCCTATGACTATATTTATAAATAACTATACTATACAAATTAAAACTTATTGGCAAGTAAATACAAACAATAATAATTTCATAAAATTGTTACATTTATATATTTATAATTTAATATAATCTAAGGTTTTCAAACTTTTGAATTCAGATAAATAATGATGATTAATTTATTCATTGCAAAATGTATGGTAATTAGAAGTTAAGTCACTTCAATCTTTAAAATTTATAATAAATTTAAGCTTTTATTGAAATGGTTTTTTTTTTACTATACTGAATTGTTGGATAAATATTGTAATAAAATTATTTTTATCTTGTATAATTAATTAAATATATTATTTATAAGATTTTTTTTTTAAGTATTAAATATTACATTTTATACCCAGTTCGGGAGTTGTAAAGAATCAGAAATTTAAGATATTATAATACTGTATTCTATAATATTTAAGATGTGATTATAATTTTAAAATGGTGACTTAGTCATAACTTATAGGATATTTAAATAGAAGTAACTAAAAGTTAATAACAGTATACAATATGAAAATTTAGACCTTGTATAGGTAGCGCAACCAGAATTTTTTTAAGGATCTGATAGAATTAAGTACTATTTATTTAAAAATATATAGAAGTTATATAAATAATAAGGTATGTTATATTTTAATTATTTTAGTTATTTTGCTTATAAAATATAAATTATGTAAACCATAAAAACATTGTAAATTATTGAAATTTACACAACAAAAATAATTTGAAGTTTAAATTACAAACTATTTACTAAAAGAAAACATTTTTAGTATACCTCTTTTTTCATTTATTCTAAATTATAATTTA